GAATCTGTTTTAATTAATAGTAGGGATTACGAGCCCCTTGTCGAGTCTATTCTATATCCGGAATCTAACTCTATCGCGATCTAATCGGTTTCTTCTATTTCTATAATTACCACCTCTATAGCGGCGGGTCTTATAATTAAAAGTGTTAATAGTTCTTTAACTCTTACCTAAGTAGTTATTTCTTTTCCTGATCTTATTAGGGTAAATCTCCCCTTAGTCTTAAAGCATTAAATCCTTCCTCAGTCGTTATCTTTATATTCTTCCTGGGGTTATTAACTAATAGTCCGTTTAGGAGGGCCGGAACCTCCTTTAAGTGCCTCTATTACTCTAATCAGGGTTAGAACACTTTAGAGATACCGAGTAAATCCGCCTCCGAGCACTATATTATAACTGGATAAAGACGTAGTGGCACTAGATCGTTAAGATAAAGATTAGATAAAGAGGTTAGTCTAGCAAAACCACGATATATAATCAAAATATAACTAATACCGCTATAACCTTTAGCGAAGAAGTAGATCGGTAGTCACTATTCTAATCAGGGCAATATAAGTTAAACCGGAAAGATACCTTAAACGTAGAATAAGTAATTATAAAAGAGGATGATTATTAAATAATAATCCCTCGATAGGGACGTCCGGCGCCTATCCTTAATATATATATAGGGGGTGGACCCCGTAGCCTTAAAAAGGGGGTCACGTGACCACCTGCCAAACCACTCCAAAGCCGCATCTGCGCGGTTATAATACCCTAGTTTAATTACGCGGTGCTTAGGAAGTATAAGGGCCTTATAAAACTATAGAGTTCTATCCTTACCTAGATTCGAATAGAGAAAATAGGCCTTCGCCACTTCTTTTTTATAAGAGGCGTGCCGGAAGCGGCGATACCGTATTACCGGTACGCCGATAAAGGGCCGGAGATAGCGGAATATATCGCGTTATAGTGCTAAGATATATTAGGGGAGATATAAGTGCGCCTCACGGCCGATATAGGCGCGCGCCTACTAATAAAATAGGACTAGCTCTTAGCGCTCTAGAGTAAGGAGACCGCGGGGAAGGTTGCGAAGTGGTTCCTATAAACCGGGCGCCTCCCAGACTTCCGATTAGTATAATAATTAAAAGCGGAGGCGTAGTAAAGCCCTTATAGTGCTAGAACCTTAGGTATAAATACGGAGAGGCGAAGACGATTACGAAAAGAGGTAAAGACGACTATAAAAGGAATAAGTAAAGGGAGAATAAGATATTTATTAATAGCCGCTATACGACTGCGCTACAGGCGCGCTATATTCACTCCTTATCTATATACTTATCGGACTCGTTATTATTATCGTCGGAGCTAATCGCTCTATTATCTACTAGGATAACCTTATCCTTACCTTTACCCTTATTCTTAGTGGCTAAGGCTATAGGATCTCCTAATAAAAGGACGGGGATACCCTATAATACGCGTTAGTAACGGGGTCGGCACGGGGTCGGCGCGGGGTTAGCGCGGGGTAACTTATAAGGTAGGCGAGGATAAGCTCTAATATCTCGCCGTTATAAGCGTAGCTACTACTATAACTCTATAAGGGCGCGGCGGCGGGGGCGGCGACTATACTAATACTATTAACCCGGCGGAGGGCGGCGTGGTACGCCCGAAAGGCGTGAGTCTAGTAGGTAGCCGCCTACTAATACTTCCGGATATTCTATAATAGGATTAGTAATAAGGATATAGCATATACGGTACGACGGAGAAGGGGAAAAACCTATAAAAGGAGTTAGGGCGGCGCGGGTAGCGGCGGCGGCGGCGATAAGAGCAGTAGCGGTATCGTTATAGAGGGGGGGGGACTTAATAGGAGGATTAAAGGAGTAAGGGTATAATAAGGGCGTAGTAGGGATAAACCGGGGCGTAGTGGCTACTACTATAATTACTATTAATCTATTTAATGTAACGGGCGCTAGCTCCTAAATCGGGTTAGTAAATACGGCTCGGAGCAGGGGCGCCGCGGGGGCGTAGCGGGAACACGACAGGACTATATACTAAAAGGGTTTTAGTAGGGTATAGCCTAATAGTCTTATACTAGGGATATAACGTATAAGGTATAGGGCGATAAGCGGACGGTAGGGGTAACGGCGGATTATACCGGGTTAGAATACGAAATAGGGGCGTAAAGCGGGCGCGATAATAATAGAGCGGGGAACTTATAGTAGAAGGCTAAGGGGTAGCCGGCCCTTTACCCTTATAGGCGCCGGTACCGGCTCCCCCTTTAGTGATAGAGGTCTTATTACTAGGTATCTAGAGGGGTAGGAGAGTTAGACCGAGGCGGGCGCTACAGAAGCGGAGCGGGGGCGGCGTGAGGATAGTATAACCCGGAACCCCGTTAAATCCCCTACTATATAGCCGAATAGCACCGGGGATTCTATACAGGAATTCTAGGGCTATACCTATATCGCACCGACTACGTAAAACTTACCTTAAGAATAATAGCTTAAAGGAGGAAAAGAGGAAAGGAGGAAAAAAGAGGAAAAGAGGGAGGGTTATAAGAAAAGGGAGCGGCAGATTAGCCCTATAAATTACCATGCTTTTTAGAGAATAATAGCTATACCCGGCCTATACTATAACGCTTACCCCGGAGAGCCTACGTAGCGCGAGTAGAGGTATATAACTAAATAAGGGCCACTATAAATAGCAGGTATATAAAGGAGGTTTTAGAATAAACAATAAATAAAGAAAGGAGTAAGGGGGGGGGTAGGCGTGCCCCCCCCCTATAGAAGGGAGGGAGGGTATAAAAGGTGCCGCGGCGAGGGAAGAATAACCTCGCCGGATCCGGAATAAAGGAAAGGACGGCGGCGAGGGACCGTGGCGATAGCGCACCGAGGGCGCGTACAACCGATATAGTACCTACTAAACTAACTAGCCGACCCTTATTAGCTATTAGCCCGGAGGTAAGATCCGGTTTTCGAATAGCGATAAAAACAGGGCCACGGAGCGATATCGTAGCGGCCACGCACGATAGACCTACCTATATAATAAGAGCGTAGGGGTTTTTATCTATTAACGGTTTCCCCTCGAGAATTAGAGAAAGACTATTACCCAGGTAGCTAGCCTAGCTTAGCTAAGCGAGAGCAGAGTAATAAATAATAATAATAATATTAAAAAGAGCTGCTTTTGATAATTCTGACGATAGCTTTAAAATAGGGATTATAAAAAAAACTAATAAAGTTATAAGTACTTAAAGTTATAGTGTTTAGGTGGAAATAACGTCTTTAATATCGTGATAGCTTTAATTATACTAACGTTAGCCCGGTAGCGATATTTACGTTTATACCCTTATATATAAAATAGGTAAGAAAGTACGGATCGGCAACCTAATCCAATGAATAACCGGGACGTGGGGTAAAGTCTCGAGCTAACGTTTCTGACCCCGGCAGAGGTGTAAAGTAGTCAACTGCAGGTACCTATTGCTATCGTCCGTCCATTACCCTGCCCTCGCGGACATCTAAATAATTAAGTTTCACGCTCCGATTAGGATTAGGTACCTATGCAATTGTGTTTATCTAGGTACCTTAGTAGTCATCCTGTCTGGAAGGGGATGCAAAAGGTATTGTGGTGTAGATACGTGACTCTATACACCCGACCCAGTCTTCCCGCCAGGAGTTAGTGTAACACGAGTCGCCGTTCCACCCAGCTCCCTATCCGTTACCAGCATTCAGCTTACAAGCAAGGTAGCTTGGCCTCCAACCAGCCAAGCCCCTAATCGAAACAGCAAACAGCCCCAAATACACCAAATTGTAGGACAATGACCCATTCAGTACCCGTATGCCTCTGCCATGGCCGCCTCCTCCTCATAATCTATCTCAATGACCTCCCTTGTCTGTTTTGATGCTGCAGAGTTGGACCGACCGATGGGCTTCCGTTGGTCCTTGGGCTTGGCATAGACAAAGCTCGAAAGGGAGCCGGACGCCTTCTTCGACTCGGCCTCCTCGACGCTGTACAGCTTGTTATAAAAATGCACAACCCTGGGGTGCGCCATGACCTTATGCTTCTCGAACCGCAGCACCTGGAGGCCTTCCTGGCTCGTCGCCCGACTCAGCGCCACGTACGCCTGGCCCTTCTCGAACACCTTGCCGAGGTCCACCTTCACCCTCTCGAGCGTCTGGCCCTGCGCCTTGTGGATCGAGAGCGCCCACGCCAGGATCAGCGGCACCTGGCTGCGACTGGCCTGGACTTCCCCGGTAGGGAGCTCGACCTTCCAGTCCTCAGGCACGCAGAGGATCGTCCTGTGCGACCCGTCCGTCGCCGCGAACTCCACCACGGGATACTCGGCAGCGCCCCGCTTCGACTCCTCGTACTCCTTGGTCAGGCTCTGCATCCTGCTCCTGACCTTGGGGTCGAGTCCCCCGACGTCGTCCGAGCCGAAGTCGCCGTAATTCTGCATTTCGAAGACGGCCTCGCTACGGAACGCCTTCACCTTCCCCAGCGACCCGTTGACGAGCGTGTCGTCCATGTTCTTGACTAACATGACCTGGGCGCCCACTTTTAGCTCGAGGCTTTTGGGCGCCATCATGTTCTGCAGCAGCTTGTCTCGGACCGCTAGGTCGCCCGTGTCGTGGGAGTCATAGCGATACGACTTGCCGGGAAGGTTTCGCAGTCGACTTTGGTTCGACGCCTCCACCTCGGTCCTCGTCGGGAAGAGCTCCGTGGTGTCCAAGTCGAGGTCGGACTTGGGTATGGGTCGTGATAGCTTCTTAAAAGCCGCCACCGTCTCGTCACTGATACGCCCAAGACGCATTTCGTTAAGCATGTTGGCGAACACTGGCATCCCGTGGTTAGCCGTCTGTCTTTCTCCAATCGCCGCCCTTCTTCTCTTCCTCGAGAGGGCAAGAGGAAATAAGAAGAAGTAAAAAAAGAAGGGGGCCGCGGGGGGGGGGGGGGGGGGGAAGAAAAAAACCTTACCAGGATCTTTTTGACGGAAGATTTGGGTCAGGCCAATTGTATGATCTATAGAAGTGTTCCACGTAGCCGCATCAAACGCAAACTTAGCCTCTCTCTTCCCCTCGGACGTGTCGGGAACAGGCGGTAATTGGAAAAAGTCGCCGGTGATGACGAGCTGTATCCCGCCCCATGGTCTCCCATTGTTCCTAATGGTCCTGCCAATCTGCGACAGCTTGTCAAACAGGTCACCGTCCACCATGGAGACCTCGTCAATGATCAAAACCTTGGTCTTGAGCCAGCGACCTTTCGCCTTGGCATTCCGACGAATCTTCTTCACCAGCGTCTGCACGTCCTCCTTGCCGAGGCCGATCCCGGAGAAGCTGTGAAGCGTGATGCCCCCAATGTTGCAGGCGGCCAATCCGGTCGAGGCCGTGACCGCCAACCTCTCCGGGTCCCTCGTGAATTTCTTCTTCAGCTCGGCGACGATGGACCTCATGAGAACCGACTTGCCCGTGCCGGCCGGGCCCGTGAAGAAGACGCTCTGGCCGTGCTTGACGACTAGGTCTTGGACGCGCTGCTGCTCCTCGCTCAGCTTGATGCCCTGCGTCGTTTTATGTTTCGTTGTGAACTCATTTGCCGAGATTTGCTGGATTTCCTCTACCGAGTACAAGTCATCCGCTGCCGACGGCTTTTTGGACTGGCTCTTGAGCTGCTTCTTCTGAGCCTTGACGGCGCTGGCTGTGGCGTTCCATGGAAGCCGGTCCTTCTTCTTGGGTGCTGGCGTCACTCCACCAGTCGCCCACATGAAGCCCTGAGCCTCATCCCACCGCTCTTCAGGGAGTTCTTCTGTGTTCCAGGGTAAAGTGCGTGTCTTCTTCGTCGGATGGGGACGGGGAGGTTTTAGTTCCTCCTCAGACGGACGCTTTTTCACACCGGTATCGGACAATGTTCGGGCTGTCGTGGAGCGGGATGTCGGGGGGAGCATGTGAGAAGCGGGTGATGATGTCCAGGGAATAGGTTGTGTTGATGGCAGGCCAGGAGGGTTCTTTGTCTCCTGGAGAGGAGCCGGATTGGCGGCAGCAGGGGGTTTGGGAAGCGGGGGTAGGGAGGTTGGCTGTTCCAAGTCGAGATCTAAATTATCGTCATCGCTAAAATCGTCTTCGTTGAAATAGACGGGGGCAGCCGAAGGGTCGGTATTTGAGGCCCTGGCCAGCAGATCGTCGGGTTCATCCTTGAAAGAGTCGAACTTGTTGTACAGTGAGGCGATGGATGCTGCACCTTGGGACGTTCCCGAGGAGGCAGACCAATTGGCCGTCTTTCCTGGCTGTTGTCGGCCGGCGAAGCCGGTGATGCTTGAGGTCCTGGCATTGGTCATGATTGTCGGGTTAGAGGTCCTTGCTGATGCAGACGCAGCGGCAGCAACAACGGAAGCAGAACCGGCCTTGGTTTGGCTCGATTTCTTGAACGAGTCGACAATGTTCCCGTTCTGCACGTTGCTGCCGGGGCTGCTGGAGGGGAAGAGGTGTTTCGCCAAGTCATTCCTAGGAGGCGGATTGGCCTCGTAGGCCTTGTTGGCCCTGCTCAGCATTGTGTCGGGTACGAAGGTCGACTGCGTTCGGATCGGGACATGGAGGTTGGGGCGGCAGTTGCGGGCACGGGCACGGGCAAGTGCAAGTGCAAGTGCAAGAAGACGAGGGCGGGAGGGTAGTAGTAGTACGCGCCGTACTGGTGAGGATAGGAGGGATAGGCTGGACGTGCCAGCCTTCATCCACGGCTGACTGAAGGAGAAACGGTTATCGTGTCGGCGATTGTCGCAGGGTCGTCAAAAACTGGCATCAACATCAGAGAGAAGAAGTAGTAGGGGATACGAAGTACGGATACGTACACTGTGGAAAATTGACGACGGTGAGAGGGGTGATGTCGCCCTACAGGCGTGTCAGAACGCGTCTTTCCCACACTCGAAATTGGCGTTGTCGTGTATCCGTAATATGGAGTCTGAGATACTTTATTCATTGTACTCCGTGCCAATTACCTAGGTACCTTGTGACTAGGAGTCCCCTGCTTAGTCACTAGTGTATACTGGAAAGTGACCTTAGTAATCGTTCATCTACATCGTACTCCGTGAGACTTTGATCTCTCGATCTTTCATCCTCTCCGCTCACATTGGGAAGAGTCTCTGTGGTTCGTCGTCCTTATTCTTCAACTGCTTTTGAAATACCTTTGGTTTTTTTTTTTTTTTTGAATCACTTTAACATGGGACAAATTGCCTCCATCGCCTTCAGTGGCTCATTCAACGACACTTGAAGACTCGGTCTATTTCATCAAAGCTCATACGCCAATGGCTGCGTGGAGAAAAGAGAAAGCCTGCTAACCTGCAATGTGAATCAAGACAAACATGTAAGACTTGAATGAAACGAAAGACTCCTAGTACCGATACCCCGCTGGGATGCGATTGTTACTTCTTCTTCTCCGGCCGTAAGAACCCTCATACGTTACGCCCGGTGACCGCTCCCGAGGCCTCATGTACGCTCTCGCTGCCACGCGCCCCTCTTCCTCCATGGCGAGGATATCTTCCCCGTCCATCTGCCACCGCAAACGTTTCTGGTGCTCCGCCACCCGACGCCGCCGCAGCAACTCTCCTTCCCTCTCCCGCATCTCAACAGCCGCCATCTCCTCTGCGAGCCGTCGCCTCTCCGTCTCTTCGAACCTCAGCTCATCCTCCAGCCGCTGACGCTCCAGCATGTCCAGCTCTTGAGCGACCCGCCAACACCGCTCCGCTTCGCGCTCCATGTCGTCTCCCAACCGTAACCTCCCCAAGTGGTTATCGAGCTCGTCCTCCACGCGTCGGCGTTCCAGGCTCTCGGAGGTCACCAGGCGTGCTCCACCTGGCGGCGGCGATCTTTGGATGATCTTCGGGGGAAGTGCCGAGCGTGGCCGGTAGCCCGCTTCGTCGTGGACGATGCGAAGCCCGTTGAGCATGCGTTTCGAGGCGGCCCTTGCGTCCGCCACGCCTGCCTGGTATGCTTGCTCGCGGATGCGTTCGATGAGGAGGGGTGTCGGACCTGACGCCGGTGAACCATAGCGCGGAGCGGTGGTACTTTGCGGTGATGACACGCGTGACATGGTGTCTAGGGGGTGACGAGGCTCGCGTTTGACGTGGTGACGCGGTACTTCAATCTCGTACCGCTCCGGGCTGTTTCTGGGACGGATACGGCTCTGGCTGCGACTACGCGTTCGGACTCGGCTCTTGCGCCGACCGCGGGAAGGAGAAGTGCGAGGCGAGCTTCCAGTTTCGCTTGTTACGGAAGTCGCCGCTGTCCTCTCGGTGTCGTTCGTGGAGCTAGAGTCATCCGAGCATACCGAATCGGATTCATTGGAGCTTTTTGGCGAGCCTGGGGACTTGTCGTTGCGTCCCCTTTTGTCGACGATCTTCACTTCTCTTCGTGGGGGCTTCCCGGGACTCCTAGAGGTCTTGGAGTACGGTGGCTGGGGCGCTGGAATAGGTACATTCTGGATGGGAGTGTACGGTGAGGTTGGCGACATTCCTCCAGCGGAGACAGGTGGCGCCGGCCTGTGAACAATAGGCTGGGGGACTACGATGTGCTGGGTTGGAGGCGGGGGTGGGGGCGGAGGCAGAGGCACCAAAGCTGCTTCGAACTCCAGTTGTCTCTGCCAGAACATGGCAATGGCGTTCTCTTCGGGTCGGGGGACTCGGTTGAAGTACGCAATTAGGGAGGTTCTCTCGTACTTGTTCCGAGGTTTCTCGTGCTTTGCAATGATGGCTCCTCGATGAGTGAAGATGATTTTATGCACGGTGCTGATGCTGTGGCTTCTCTTCTTGCTCTGGCTCTTGCTTTTGCTCTTGCTTCTGCTCTTGCTCTTGGAGCTGGATGTGTGGTCTGCCGAAGAGCCCTTGTCGAGCTTCTTGAGCTGCTGGTCGAACTGCGCCAGAATGTGATGGTACCGGGGATCGCGTTCCTGCGCGTTCAGCTGTTCCAGGGCTCTCTCAAGCTGGCGCTGCTGTGCCGGAATGAGGGCGGTCTTCTTGTCCCAGCTCGACTGGCTGTCTCTGTCAAGCTGGCGTACTTGGCGGGTCGCCTCCTGCTTGGATATGTCGCAAATCCTCGTTTTCACTACCTTCTCCCACGTCGGCTTGACGGGGTACCCCTCATCGTCAACGGCGTTCTCGTCGTTGAGCTTCTCGAAGCGGTATATCACGTAGCCGGACAGGGCCTCGCGAGCATCAGCCTCGGTAAGGCGTTCTCCTCGGAGGTCGGAGATTTCGACGGCGGGCCTTGGAGGGAATTGGGTCGACGACATTTTGCGTGATGGAGCGAAGCTCTCTGGAAGTGGGTGTGTGATTGGTACGTCTACAGAATGTATGGCCATCTGCGGCAGCCCTAAGGCGAAATCCAGCAGAGCCCGTGATGGAGATGTGCTGAGACCGAACGTTGTGGTGTTATCAATACTCATGGAACAAAGAGACGATGGAGGTGGGATGAAGGGGATGAAGACGCAGACAGGCAGCAGGAATATCAGGTTGTCTCGATGGATCGTCGAGATGAATGATTCCCCAAGCAGCCAGCTCAGAGCAGGGCGGGGGTGGGGGGATTTATGGGCTATATTTGACCAGGCCGGGCTGAACTTGGTGAGAGCCTCGTCGGCCGTTGCTTGTCGGGAAGCGATGGGGCACAGTCTTTCGCCCGGAGTGCTTGGTGTCACAGGTGAGTGTGCGAAGAGGTCGGGGGGTGACACTGCGATTCATGCGGCGCAAGGCAAACGCTCTAGAGCTGGATCGGAGAGTCCGACTTGGTCCTGGTATCCGGTCGATCAACCCTTGGCTAAGGGAATACTGAGTTTGTTTGGGGAAAGAGAGGGTAGGAGGCCCAGGCTAGCTATGTCAGGGGCGAGGGCGAGGAGTAGGTGAGGTGCTACGCGTAGGTAGGATGGGTAGCAGCAGCGTGTCTAAGGGGAGACGTCCTCGTGTGATAGATTCTAAATTTGGCAACACAAACCCGAGCATCACGGATCCGGCCCTGGTCCGTCTCGGGTCAGAGACTTCCACTTCACCGATCCCCCGGTACCAATTCTCCGCCCCATTTGCGTATCCTCCAGGAATCTGGGAGCTCGTCTTCGGCGTACAGGATGCACGTGTGGAGATGGATATAGGAGACAGCAGCACGGATCAGTGCCACAGCCAAGATATCTTTCAACTCCATGTTGGACTTGTCTCGTTTGCATGGAAGAATCATGAACAGGCGGGGATGTAAATATCACCGGCCTGCAAACCCTGATTCAACGCCATTGCGAGAGAGTTTGCTATGCGTTTCGCCCGGGGGACGACACGGATGGCGAGATTCTATTCTTGTTCTTCGCCGAGGACTCAGGGTGAGCAATGACTATGATCCAGGGCATAACAGAGTGATACTAGATGGTACTAGATGGTGGTGGTGGTGGTGGTGGGTGATGGATCGCCCTGCGCCGGTAGCACACGGAGGTGCGAGATGAGCTGACCGGCCGTTTCTCCGTCCGTGATTTTAAGTCGGTCGGATTGGCCGAAAAGTCCTATCATCTCGAGGATAGAAGTGGGTTTTCTTTCTTCTTTTTACCTTGGCCTCTAAAAAAAACAAGAATATAATAACACCATGAATAAACCAACTACCTGTTCCATAGCTATGAATAGATGCCAACCCATGAAAGCCTCAAGATCAAGATTCCTATCCAGTTTACCAACATACAGGAGACGCTCTCTCTGCCCATACACTCCCTGGTAGCCATTCTCCACAACGTTGCTGTCTCCTGTTACTATTTCCTCTCAGTTCCCCGGAGGGATGGATGTCTGGTCCTAGTCGACTCGGACGACACAATGCACGACCATATTAACAAACAAGCTCTCCATTTTCCCACTCTCGTCAGAGATGATGGGCTTTGCCGAGATCCTCGGAAATTACACATCCCAGTAGATAACGTGGGCAACTTTGTCCGTTGTCTAACCGATCAAGGCCCAGGGTTTCCCGTGCTTCGTCCAGGAGAGAAAACAAGAATACAGTTGGTCAATCGATATGCCGGCTTACATGTCACTCTCTCCGACTACTACATCAATGTTTGTAGTGTGAAGCGTGAAAGATGTGTCGGATCCGAGCAAACATAAGAGGAGAGAGCTCGAACAACCCCCCCAAACCCTTCCTCATCGTCTATTCTGCTCCGCCTAGAACGATCTCTTGTGCTTCCCACGAAGCCCAGGTGGGACCTCGGTTCGCCGTCAGGAGAAACCAGCCCATTTCAACTCGATTTGGGAATACAGACACCTCGTCTGACTGAGCTGGGCAAAGCCAGGCAAACCGTTCAGTGATGACCGAGTTGCCCGGATCCGCACAACAGAAGCATTTTGGAAAGTCGGTGAAACTTCTCGGATGAGCATGGAAATACCGCGACAATGGGGGAAGAACCCCCTCAGCTGTAACCAAAGTCGGTGGCCATTCCTGCGTCCAAGAGCATCAGGCATAGATCATCTCAGGTAGTTGGTGTTGGGAGTAAAGGTTCACCCCGTTCCGGTGCGGCGACCCTAGGCACTACCACCATACGCCAGAGCCCTCTCGTCGGTTGTGTCAAGCGTCAGGCCTTTGCTTCAAAGGAAGACGTTGGCTGATCACCTTGGAACAAAATAAAACGTTGGAACATCGGCTCCATTGGCTCAGGCGGGTATAAGTAAACATGATTTTCGTCTTCTGGCATAACAACGTCCCCCGTCACCTAGGTCCAGGCAATGGCCGGGGTCCCACAATCTGCCGCCTCCCGGCCCCGATCCCCTGATTCCCCTTATTCTGGCCATCCCCCCCAGTGTATCCGGACCACTGACCGACGTCCCACCTGCCGCCGATACCGCCGCCAATGCCATCCACGCCATCATTGGAGCGTGCCGCCTTGGCCGTCTCCTTCTGGGCCTCTTCCCATTCCCGCTGCCGTTGCCGCTCCATCTCCATCTCGCGCTCTAGGAGCGACTTGGATGCCCAACTCCCAGCCTCGGTCTTCTCCTGGCTCTGGACGCGGCGGCGATCTTCCGCGTCCCGCTCGGCTGTGGCGTCCAGCTCCCGGGAATACGACTGCCTGGCCGCCTTCTCCCGCTGCGGAGCGGGATTGTCCGCAAGATACCTTTCTGTGCGGCTCTGGGGAGCGGCAGCTGCAGCTGCAGTTGTTGAGGCCATATAGGCGGTCGGGTCCGGAAGCGGCCTTGCGCCACCCGTGTTATGGCTTGTGACCTTCTGCGGCGGCGATGGGACGGCTGCTGCCGCCGGGTCGGGGAGAGGCCGAGGCGATGTGACAGGCTGAGGAGGGGATGGAACGGCCTCAGCCGCTGTCTCCCCTCGGTGCTGATTCCATTTCGTGCGAAGGATCTCCCGCTCGTCGCGCGACCAAGAGTCATGCCGGCTTGGCGGACGAGCAGCCGCCGCCGGCCGACTCCTGGATCGAGGTCGGACCATCACCACCCTGCTATCATCGCCGCCCTCCTCTTGGCTGGTGCCCCCTCCTTGCCTCCTAGCGCGCTCCTGGCGTTCTCGTTCGTACTGCCTCTCGCGCTCTCGTGCTAGTTCGAGTTCCCTCTCCAACTCGGCGATGCGGTCAGCTCCCGTTTTCTGTGCCTTCAGCCCTTGCTCCGCCTGGTATTGGCTGAGGAACTGCCCTCGCAGACGGGCATCGCTATGGGTCCGTGCGCGGCTTCTCTCCTCTGCCAGACGTGCCAGACGTGCCTCGACCTCTTCTTCCTCTTTGCGACGTTTCTCTTCCGTTAACCTCCATTGTCGTTCCTCCTCTTCCCACCTCTTCTTCTCCTCCTCAGCTCTCCGCCGCTCTTCCTCTCGGACCCGGCGAGTCTCTTCTTCCCATCTCCGCTCCTCTTCGAGCCGAGCTCGTTCTTCTTCGGCTTCCACCTCGGCTTTCCGCCGCCGCTCCGCCTCTAGCGCCTGCTGTCGCTGTCGCTCCTCCTCGGCCTCGCGTTCCCGCCTCTTGCGTTCTTTCTCGGCCGCGCTCGGGACAGACGGCCCGACGCCGGTGATTTGCCTCCGTCCACCAAACGAGATGCCGAGGTTGCCTTGGCTGGCGCCGCCCATGTAGCCGTACTGGGCGATGTTCCATGCAGGCGCCGTGACCCCTTCTTGCGCCTTCTTGCTCCAGCTGCTAACTGGGGACGCACTTTTCGTGGGGCTCCACTTCCCGGAGGGCGAGTCTCCTGTTTGATGACCGGCCAGCACGGAACGCTGGGAGCCGAGCACAGACGACGTATTGCTGGCTGTGGATAAACCGCGGTCGCGACCGGGCGTCGGTGTATGTACGCTTCCGGGACCCGTACTCTGGGGGCTCAGAACGTTGCTGCGCCTCGGCCCAATAGGGGAGGGGAACCTCGCGGGATTGACGGCATGAGCGGCACGGCTAAACGCCCCTATGCATTGCAAGACCTGCGTTGGGTCCTTTTGTTCGTACAAGTCGACGGTTAGGAAAACATCGTGTTCTTGGAGGTTCAGCGGTGGTAGTTTGCAGGCCCGTAGGAAGTGGGAGATATTCTCCATTTGGACAAACGGCATGGCCGACTGTTTGAACTTGACGCCGGGAGGGGGGACGGCCAGGTTAACGAGCCTGCGAAGAGATGTTAGCCAGATCATTCCCGTAAGAAGGGGAGAGAGAGGGGGGGGAATCCGTTCGTACGACATACTTGCAAAGAGCCACGCCGTCCTTGAGCCCCCCCAGAAGATCCCCCGATGGAAGGCTCTCTCCCAACACACCTTCGATCCATGACTTGACTTCGTTCGCTGCCGCAGGGGTGTACCTGTCCAAGCGCAATTTACGCAAGTCCTTGTCCAAGGACGATACTGACGCCATGACCTGCGGGGACCCCACTGTGTATCGCGGTGATACGTCGCACAGATATGCGCGGTATATCGAATGAGGGCACGTTGAAGGGCCGAAGACTAGAGGATGCACGTAGCAAGAGTCCGGAGACGGTTCGCGATCAGAAGGATCAAAACAGGTCGCCGAGCGAGAGTCGGTCGTCAGCAAATGAAGCGGGGAAAATTCCAGCTATCGGAGCGCACGGGTGAACGAGAGTCGAGAATGTTGCGGAATATTCGATTTTGTCGCGACGTATTCGGGAGATGACCAAGAGCATTGAAGCCTCCCGTCACTTGTTTCCGTCAAGCTAAAAGCTGCAATGTGGGATGCGACGGAGAGAGAACAGTCAGGCATGCTGCTGGTCCTAAGCCCCCAAATTAAAGATGTTCGCGGGAAATGCGGATACAGGTTCTACAAGGGACCAGTGACGTGGGCGGGGTGGCTGGTGGGGTACGTTATTTGCATTTGCTGACTTAAACGTGGCTGGTGTAATAAAGTATGTAATATACGTCAGTGTACGGAATTGTACTCCGTACACTGTACTGCAGGTATCTGTGGCGGTGCCACCCTTTTTCACGGGTCTGATTTCATCACCAACGCCCTCAAGAGCTCGGTGGTTTCCCTGGTTTCACTGCTTTCACTGGGTTCACACCGGATTGAGATGGGTCCTAACCTGACAACTTTCTGCCGTCGTAATATCGAAATCGAAAACCCGGCGTAAATGTCTACCATACTTGAGGCATGGTATAAGTGGAAAGCGCTGCGTCTTCCCTGGCGCAAGCGCTTCCTTGTCGGTATGTTCCCCCCTGAGCCCATGATCATGACGTTATGCGCTAAACATCCCGTCACTACCTTACCTAACCTCTAGGCCGCGATCTAAATGGAAACACGTTTTGGGAGTTCCGCGAGTCTCGTGGCGCAGGTCCCGGCCGCTTCCGCCGAATTGTCAAGTACCCACGATCAACACACTATTCCGAGGTCAAGGTCTCTCCCATTTGGCATCAATGGCTGCGACATGTACGCGAGCAGCCTCCTTCGCTGCAAGAACAAGCCCAGGACATTAAGCGCCAGGAGAAGATGAAGATACTTGCTGCGCAGGCAAACGCGCGCTGGGAGGCGAAACCAAGGGTCATGGATGCCCCAGGTCAAGAATACGGCCAGCCAGTCCCGGCGCTGGATACCATGAAGACACAACCCATTGCCCCGGAGGCGCATACCGTCAACAAGAACAAGTCAGATTCAGCGACGCAAGAACAACTCAATTCGGACCCCGAATTACGCAAGAAGAAGTATGGATATGATCCGTGGGACAAGGCAAAAGGACCCGGCGAAGGATGGCAGCCCCAGGCCTGGACACCTCCAGCAAGCAAGAGGAAATAACTATGGAAAAAACTAGACCCGACAAAGTAATCTAGTCCCAATTGTAAAAATACCTTGTACAGTACAACAGAACCCGGTTCCTCCTGAACTGATAGCATCCCGTACGCCGAGTCCAGGGGGCCAAAAGAAGCTCCAGTAATGTCTGACTTTATATCCCATGCGCCGAACGCCTTTTTTTTCGTTTTTTTTTTCGTGTATCCTGTCAATGTCTTGCCCATCCTCTATCTCTTATGCTTTCTTGTCTTCCTGATCCACGGCACTCCGCAGCCTCTCTTCTTGTCTCTTCCAGTGATCACCCTCTTCATAGTCCTTGCTGATCTTGAGCGCATTGCGCAGCCTCTCGCTCTCCTTGATCTTAGCATCTGCCATCTCGTGCACCTGGTGGCTCTTGAAACCTTTCCTCGGGGGCGGTGAGCCCCCGCGCCTGTTCTTTTTGCTTTCCATCTCAGCTACGAGCTTCTTTCGGAGCTCATCGCAGCGTTTTTCGATTTCGTCGTCGTCGAGACTATCGAGAGCAATCGTGTGTGAGCCTGAGTGGCGTTCAAACGAAAGCAATGAAAACATACCCTTCATCCTCGAGCTCATCGCGGAGATCAAGAACCCTAACCTCAACCTCTCGTTTGCGGTCATGCTCGAGGATTTCCTTGTCCGGCTGGCGCTGTCTGTGGCGCAGAGAGTCGAGATCCTTGGGGTAAGGAGCGGCGTAGTCACGCGGCTTCATGTGCGCAAGATTGCGCTGAACATAGCCGGAAGTGCCACTGCCGCGCGGCGTCGAGAGACCAACGTTGTCGGACATGATGTAGTTGTTCTCGAGGTAGACGTTAGGGGAATCAAGGAGTTTCCCGCACGGTTTGAGCTTGGGTTGAGATGCCGGAGATTGAGAGCCACATGACGATAAGATAGAGTGGTACATCGTACCTTAAATAGAAGGCGGCGAGAAACCTAAGAGACACATCACATACGAAGTAGTGGGGTAGGTGGCGCGGCAGAAACAGCGGGGTACGTACCTCATCCCATGAGGTATCAAACAAAGCTCGTCACACTGTGATCACCAATGCACTAGGGTCTGGCTACTTCGTACAAGGGGACAATCTGCTTGATGGTGACTCAGTGAGGACTCACCCAAGAAATATCAAGAGAAAACAACTACTCTGGCCTTTCATTCTTGACTATTTATTTCTCTCTGACCTGTATACTTTTTGGATTTCTATCTCATCTCGCGCCACAGCTACTCATCTAAATTTGCTAGAGACAGGTTTCTCGGGTCTTGGCAAGGTCACGATGCCTTCACTCGAAGGAGCGACGGCCATTGCTGGCCAGTCCAACACTGGCACGGCCTCATCCGAACCAGAGATCGTATTCCCGCCTATCACAAAAGATCACATCCTCAACTGTTCCTACGATAGCTGGTTTCCGAAGTACAGACAGCACGCCCTCAAGTCCCGCATCATCAAGCTACCCCCCGAGTTCATAGATTATCTCGGGGAGGACGGTATCATCCTCGCAGACGACGACCAAGCGCAAGATGAGCGTCCAGAGGAAGAAGAGTGGACCGCTTCGGCCGCAACAAGCCAGAGACGCCGTCTGCCCGAGTCGGAGTCGGACTCAGATTCGGAACCCGAATCCGACTCCCGCCCCCCCAACGAACGATTCCCCGAGCTACACCAGCAGATCAAAGACACCATTCGCGAACTGGGTGGCGCGGTTGCGCCCAAACTGAACTGGTCTTCGCCGAAGGATGCCGTGTGGATCTCGCCTCACCAGAACACGCTCAAGTGCACCACCCCCAACGACATCTACCTCCTGTTGAAGTCTTCCAGTTTCGTGAGCCACGATCTCGAGCACGTCTTTGACGATACTACGGATATGGGGTCATCGTCGGCAAAGTCGCCGTCTTTCCAGCCGGTTCTGGTCTTGCGTCCCTTCTTCTGTCCTCACCCGGCCCTCGAATTTCGTTGCTTCGTGAAGCATCGCTCCCTCATCGGCCTTTGCTCGCGGGATTTAAATCACTACTCTTTCCTCGAGGCACTGCGTCCAGCCATTGTCAGAAAGATAAGCGACTTATTCGAGCACCGACTTCGGTTCACGTTTCCGGACGGTTCGTTTGTGTTCGATGTCTACCTGCCGGAGGACGGGAATGCCGTAGACGGGCTGGGGCGGGTGCGGCTCATCGACATCAACCCCTGGGCACCTAGGACCGACAGCCTCTTATTCGACTGGGGCGAGCTCTTGAAGTTCAAAGTCCCGCGGCCGATCCTAGGCTCTGTTGTGAACCAGGAAGAGTTCGACGAAGTGAGCGGCACGGACGAGATGACCGACGACGATGAAGCCGACTACTTGGTGCCAGAACTCAGACTTATGGAGAGGGATAACCCTGCTTCGTCCAACTTCAGCTCCTCCCAGTATTCCGCCCACAAGTTGCCCAAGGAGGTGGTCGATGCTAGCACTGCAGGCGAAGGTGGCCTCAGGGAGTTCATGCAGCGGTGGAGGGAGATGACAGAGGCAGAAGGCGGTCGAGACGTGTGGGAGACAGGCCAACGGCAAGGATGATGGAAGCACTATCCTCCATGTACAACATGTGGCATCGGGATTGGCGGTGAAAAGAATAGCGAACGGTAGAGGTTTCAGTCCGATTAGAATTCACACGATGCGAGCACCATTCTGGCGATGCCAGGGGCTGGCTATTCTCTCCGTCTCTCCGGCGCTGTACCGGACAACCCCAACCGCGGTTTGCTGAGACTTGCCAGTGACATTCTCGCCTTATTTGTCTGCGATGTGTCAGGTGACATGGTGCTGAGTCAATAGACTTTGTTGAAAATGAGCCGTGATGTTATGCTACTCACCTACTCCTCCAGATACTTCGTACGAGTCGACCTCTATCCATTCGGAGTACGATACGCAACTAAGGTACCGAACCAAGTACCCATCGTGACATCGAGGACACCGAGTCGAAGCTTAGTCATCGAACCACAACCCAAGTCGAGTCTTCCCCGTTCCCAGCGGGACGAGTAAGATTACGGTACTTTGTCCCACAAATTCGGTGGACGGTGAATCCAGAGTGTTTCCTTCATGATCATCAACAACATCAAAGCGTCGGTCCGTCACCACCTGTTGACGATTTCCAGCTGATGGCAGCTGCCTCCCTCCATCACTTCGAAGCTCGAGGTTTCAAGAATTATTGCTTCTCTTAGCTTTCATTTCAGTCTATTCCCCCCTTCTCTCGATGTCTGGCCGAGGCACCGCTATCTCTCGTCCACGCGGTCGGCCTGCCAAAGTCACAAAGCCTCCCATTGGCGCCGGTCGAGGACGCGGAAATCGCCCATCGGTCGGGGCAGACCAACTCCAGGTCCAGCTAGCTCGAGCCGACGATGAACACCACGCCGGCAGCCAGCCGCCCGTGGTAAAGCACGACCATTTGGCGGACGAAGAGGAGGACGATGGGCAAGAGGACGCGTCGCACGCGCACCCTCATCAGCCACAGCACCAGCAATTTGATATTGGCGCGTCGGCCTCCCCCCACGCCATGCTCCCCAACGGTCAAGGGCAACAACCGGGCGGGCACCAAACTGCCGACGCCGACATTCATCCCGACCTCCAGAACCTAGTCCCTGGTGCCCATACAGGTGCCAGCCAGCAGCCCCAACAACCTCAGCAGCCGCAGCAGGGATTCGCCATGGAAGCTCCCATGGAAGCTCCCATGGACACCCCCACCACACGAACCGCCATGGAAATGGCCCAAGAGAGCGGTTACCCAGAACTCCTTATCGATAGCGCTCTCGCGAAACGTCTAACTGACGTTCCCGGCGAGCGCCTAGCCGTCCAGCGTCGCCAGGACCAAGTCCTCAACCTCAAGCGCCGCAGCAACGTGGAGGCGCTACTTGCCCAAGTATCGGGCCAAGAGGCGCACAGTCCCTGCAAGAGTTGCCATAAAGGATACGGTCCTTGGAGCGGCTGCATTGTGGTGAGCGGCCAGATGTGCGGGAGTTGCGCAAATTGCTGGTTCAACGCCAGTGGTTCGCGGTGTTCGTTCCACGGTAAGCTCGCACACCCCCCCTGTACTACCTAAACCAATGCGCCAACCGGCCTGGTGGCTTCGCAGGAAGGGGAAAAGGTGGTTCGCTGACGCTTCGCCCTTTTTCTTTTTCCGTCTTTGTCAAATAGAAACGAACCTCCCCCAGGCACAACAGCACATTCCTGCCATCCAGCTGCAGCAGGCCGCAGGCGCGGCCGGCGCCTTCGCCATCCCAGCTGCAGCCTTAGCCGTCCAGACGCAGCTCCAGCAACAGCTCGCGCCGCAGACCCATCCCGGTTTCGCCCCCGGCGGCCTCGACCAGTACGTGCGCGTCATTCTCGGCCGCGCCATGGTCGAAGCACGCGCCGACGACCCGCACATGCGCTTCCAGTTTCGCATCGAGACGGCCGCGCGCCAGCTCGCCCTGGCGACGGCCGAGTACAACGACTTCTTGGCCCAGGAGCAGCAGGACCATGAACAACAACAACAACAACAACAACAGGCACAGGCACAGGCAGACGGTGGCGGGCCCGGCGCGGGTCAGCAGGGCGCTCCCCGGAGTAATAACGGACCTGATGCGACGACGCGGGATGGCGAGGGAGGCGACTAAGAATGGCTCACGGCATCTAGTTCCGAGTGAGGATTGGGATCGGTACCGCCCGGGGTATTAATTTTTTATGTCAACTATTTCGGTATACCTGGCAGCACAGGACGGAGAAATGGAAGGAAGCGGGACTCGTTTCTTCTTGTCCGTCGACAAGGGAGCGAGGCGTGTATGAAATTAAACTACTTGCACCATCTTGGTTTACCTTCCATGGACTGTCTGGAATTCGTCGTTTCATTGGGTACTAAGGGGGAGTTTGGCAGGACTCAGAGGGTTCTCACAAGCTGGTCTTCAATCCTTCCGTATCTGGCTGGGTCATTGTCGTCCCTCTTTCAGGCCGCCTCGATCGAACAGAATGACGAGATAAATGAATAGGCAGAAGATAAATATTATATGGGCTAGCCGATAGGCAACGGCGCGTACTGTCTTAAGAAAAGAGTACAACGACGTGCCAGCACCATCAGTGAATGCATGTCAGGAGAGGATATCGTGCCCATTCTTATCGTCCGGAATTCGGCTTGTGATACATCTCAGAAGAATATTAAACAGATAAAATTCCCTTATATTGGAGGGTGACAACATAGGATTCTTACAAGTATGATACGCGTAGAGACATGAGATAGGAAAAGAGACTTTGTCGTAATTAAACAGGATATAAACCCCCATCCGCCCATCCTCGCGTCCCTCCACACTCTCTGAAATGCAATTTCGGGCATCATACATGTCCGCAACGCGTCGGCTGCATCGCGGCCCATCTCCCTGACGACCAATGGTCCACGTTGCATCTGTCGTGCTCTAGCGCGCTTTCGCCGTAGCACTACTCGAACACACTTCGGATTTCCAACGGCGACCAATGCCGTTTTGCTTTGTAGAAAACATCGCACAAAATACCATCCTTATCCCTCGACAAGGGTCGACCAAAAAAAGAGACAGGAAAAAAAAAGCCGAGAACCCAAAAACCTGCCGCCTGCTCCAGAAGGACAAAATGGCGAAGGGGATAAGCTGGTGATGGGCGGGGACGCCTGTGTGATACCGAAGAAAGATCCAAGTGTCGTAGAGAAAGGAGTCTTGGGGAATCCGTCGGGGTGCGCCTTTTTGGCCGTCATCGGGAGCAAGGCGGAATCATGAGCCGACCCCGGGGACCATCTATAGCCAAAGCCGTGCATGCCATTACGAATGAAGTAAAGGGTATTTATGGAGAGGAAAAATGAGAGGCATCGCGATCAAATCAGGCCGCAGTTACGAAGGTTTTCTTGGATGATGATGTCTGTGAGGCGAGCGAGCGTGTCAGCAAAAAATACCACTAGACAATGCCTTGAGGAAGAAAAAAAAAACTGAACAGCAAACGAGACTCACCGTTGACAGCCGCCATGACGAAGCGGATCTGAGTGGTATCCGTTGCGCAGGTGAAGTGGGTGTAGATCTGCTTTTGCTCATGCTGGTTCAAGCTGATGAAGCGATCGAGAATGTAGCTGCATGCCGCAGTATAGTCATCGCCGCCCTCGTAGTCGGGGAAGTAGTTCTTCATGGGGCTGATGGGTAGCTTCTCCTTGAACCTGTCGATCTTATTCAAGAAAAGGATGATGGATGTCTTGATGAACCACCTTGAGTTGCAGATGGAGTCGAAGAGGGTCAGAGCCTCCTGCATCCGGTTCACGGTCTCGTCTTCGAACAGAAGCTGGTCGTACTCGGAAATGGCCACGAGGAAAAGGATGGTTGTGACGTTCTCGAAGCAGTGAATCCACTTCTTTCGCTCGGATCGCTGACCACCGACGTCGAACATGCGATAGGTAAGATCGCCAATGATGAAGGTCGTTTCCGTAATACCAGTCGTCTTGACACGCGACCTGAGCACATCTTGGTCGTTCGGCATGTAGTCGGGGGTGGCAATTCGGACAATGTTATCGAAGTAACTGCGAGAGGTGGTTAGCGGACAAGCCAACCGAGGGAGCAAGAGCGTGTGGTTGGTGGTGAGCGACTTACTATCTTGCCGAGTCGTTCAGCTGGTATTCCCTAGACCGCTTGAAGCACTCCTGAACGCCACGATCCTTCCAGAGGGCTTCGATGGCACTGCCAACCTCGGGGGGAAGGACGTCGCCTTCGATCTGGGCCGGCTGCATGAAGATGGTCTGGACGTGGTACTCCATGCGCTGGTCCTCAAGGGGCAGCTCCAGAGACTCCATGGCCTCGAGAATAACACGCATCGACTGGACGGTATTGCTGAAAATGATCTCCTTGAAAGATTCGCGCTCGTCGCGGGAGTAGCCGCCCTCGTGGATCAGCTTCATTTGCTTCAGGATGGTCGACTTTCCGGATTCACCAGCACCTGCGAAACGCGTCAACAGGCTGCGCCAAGATCCCAAACCATCTCTCTCCCAGGCATGCGTTGGTCTTCGCGCCCGCGGGATGCACAGCGGAGCATATATAGGGCTCAGGAGCTACTTACCCAGAAGAAGCATCTTAATCTCATTACGCTGCATCATCTTGTCCCTCTTGAGCTGGTTCTCAATCTCCTCATTCCGGGCCTTGCCCTCCTTGTCCTCCGTGCTCATTCCGCAACCCATTGTGGCGGGTTTTTGTCGCGAAATAGAATAAAACCCGGGCGATTATGACAGAAAGGAGCGGCAGCCGAGATGTAAAATGGATCGTCGAATAATTCGGAAGTACGACGCGCAACCAGTCCTATAGGTACGTTAGATTCGTGGACGTGTCAGCAAACGTTTTGCCCGGGCAGTAGCGCACAAGTAGAATGATGACTGAATTGCCGCCGGTACGGAAAGATGGAGACTGCTGGGGAGACACGAGGTATGTGGAAAAGGGGGGGGCCGGGAAACTGCTGGGAAGAAACGGCTGTCGGTAAAGTGGGAGAGGAGAGTGTGCGGTGACTTACCAATTTATCCGTCTTGAACCAGACGACGCGTTCAATTGACGATAATTTTCTAGCGAAAAAGAAAAAAAGGAAAATAACGAAGCGAAAAACAAGGAGAGACACAAAGCGAAGTCGTGGGCGGTTTGGGCGAAGTGAAGGTCAGGAATGGGATGCAACGGGTGTTGGGGGTTGGGAATGAGGAAAAAGGGCGAAGGGGGCTTGGGGGGGTTCGTTTAATGCGGGTGGAGAGGAAACGGGGGCAGGAAAGGCAAGGGGGACGGGCGGGATGGAGGGTGCTTGTGAAGAGAGCGAATGGGAGATGCCTCGTTCAGACTGGGTGCAGCTGGAAGTGGCCGGGGGGGTGATCCTGGAGTGTTGCCTGGGTACTTGGGAAGTGGGCTTCCTGAAGGGGCCACCTGCTGGCCTGCACAATTTTCGTTTTCGGAAAGTACCAGGCATAGTGCGAGTCTCAAGTATGTACTTCGTACAACCACACAGTATAAAGAGCGCGTGTTTTCACAGCAACCTCTAGGGCGCTGAGCCTCTGATACGGTAGATAAGGTAGTATTGAATCTCGATGCTTTTGGCGGGCGGTGAGCTACGGAGTATTCGTACACTGGCACGGACACAGTGCGGGATACGTCCTCACAACTCGGGCACTGACCAGCTGCCGCGGCTCCGAAATCACAACTCGTCTAGCGTGTGGGGACCTGCGCCGTTCATTCAATGGTGCGACTTATCCTAAAGCGATGTCTGGGCTCTCCAGAGCCCTGACTAATGCGCAAGCCCCCCTGCGCCGATGCAAGGTCGCTTTTCAGTACCGGAGTTTGCGATCCTCCAAAGCATCTCATTGAGAACCGATCTGGTGCGCCAACGACGATGCATCGGGTTTCGAATATGACATTGATACGATGTGTTTCTCGACGATCAAAATCTGGGACGACCATGCCAGGTTTAATTCTTTCTCCCTGTTCTCTGCCGGCGAGGTTCAGCCCATACTGTCCGTCTCTGGCGTTACCAGCTGCGGGGAGCGGTGGCTGCTAATATTGGTACAACGTATCGGGTTTCTTCAATTATCCGTACTGTTGTTGGCCAGCGATTCTTCCGGCATATTGGTTCCAAGAGGATGCTGCGGATCAACTCTCTTGCATATGTGCTCACTGCCGTCCGTCCGTAAATAGCCTCACCCTCTCGAATCTCTCGAACTCATTGGTCATCCTCCGAGAATCCTTTCGTGAAGATGGAGGTGGGGGTTGAAAAGGGCTGCATCCACTACGTCAATCTGGTAAGTCGTTGTTTTGCCGTGGCCTGTATCTCCCCGTCGGGAGACTGGTCATTTCTCAGTTACCTAGGCGGTTTCAATATTTCGTTGTTGCCTCACTCGTCATGGGATGGGCACCTACAAGGCTTACGGCTCGGACATTTTGCGACAAGCCCTGTCGCAGTATCCGTGAGTTCTTATGGCGTCATATTGAAAAGAACCAGGAAGCGCCCGCCGTCCTGTAAAATCCCCGCTACAAAAGCCCGTCTCACCCATCCTCGTGTGGGAGCATCTGATCGTAAGCGCGGCATTTCTGAGTTGCCAACCAGGGAAAAGACAGATGTCTCGCAAGGTACCCCGCGCTGGGAACAATGCCTTTCTCCAAGTGGATTATCTCAACCCGACCTTATTAGCTGTATTAATAAATGGCATCGAGCTTGTTTGCCTCTTTCACTCGATGGGCGAGTCCGTTTGTCCTGCCGTTGACCGGCTCCACGTCCGCTTATGTACAGTCAAACAAGTGCTTATTGCTGTCCGTACACGTACTGCCCCTCATCCATCATTGATGAAACGGTTCAACGGTACCCCCGTCTAACGCAAGAGGACGAGGGCTAACTACTTCGTCGTCTCTGCCAAAGGCCACTCTTTTCACTAACTGCGAAGTAAATGGTGTCACGGTAGGATTCCGTGAGTTTTAGACATGCAAAGGTATTAAGGAGCCGTCAGGCCAGACAGGGTCCGGCATTTGGAATGTGTCTGTCTGCTCCGATCTGCTGGAGGGCCTGCGTCTAAGACATGACCGCTGGGCCTCCGAAGCACAAACCCCAGAACATACCTAATAAACAAGACAAGGTCCCGTTTTGTCACAACAAGCGCTTTGCTGGTGGGCTGTTGCGTGCATCTGCTTTTGCAACTGGGCGCTACTCGCCGCAAATGTCTTAGTTCCCTCAATTTATGAGTAGAAGACGGAGTCACCGGTGCTCCGATCTAGACTCTGGTTGGCGAGGTGTGTGTGTTCTCGAGAGGGTCAGGTATCTTCAGTCTCAATCCTCAGTTCTCACCTTTATAATACTGTATGTACCTTACATAACAATGCGATTTCCAGAGACTGTAACTTCGTGCGCATCCGTACATTGATGCACTGAGTACGGAGTAGATAATACATAGTACTGGACAGTGCGGGCCGACCGTTGTGCTAGCGTTCTCCATAAGGTAAGATCCGGGGGAGCCCGCTGTGATGCTCCGTACACTAGTTCGGTCGCCAGGGTATCGTATCCGTAGATCGCAACACTGAAGTAAGGTACCCTGTACTCCGTAGGTACTTTGAACCTTCGCACTTTGTACCTTTTCTGCAAGCGGGTGTACGGAGTAGGAGTAAGTGGGTCGTCTGGAAAATTACCCCCTCGCAATTTTTTGTGATACGGAGGATCTGCTCACCGGAGCAGAACCAAGACTCTTTTCGTCGACTGCCGACGCTGCACACAAGAACACATTTAATGATTGATTTTGCTCTGTCATTCTTCCAGACGAACCTGTCTCCAAATAAGGGGGAGGAAAAGCTAGAGAAGAGGTGAAATCTAAGTGTGATGTATGGACAGTACTTTGCCTAGCGCGAACCCAAGCACGGAAAGCCCGGTTTTCTTCACGATGGGCCATCGAACCGATACGATAGATTACTCCATAAATTGATGGATGGTGCTTCCCCCCATCCACCCGAGCTCGACGCCAGCCAAATAGTGCACAGATGTGCGTCCAGTCCCCGGCTGCAAGTGAATACTGGCGAAATGACGGCAATTTGGCGTTTGGAGAGGTACAGAGGCCGCTAGCTCACTAGTATGGCGCCGGGCGGCGCGCTATTTCTCACCAGGAACTGGGGAGCCACATGGCGGTTGCCGTTATGTACGAGGTCCTTCACGGACTTCCTGATGATTACTCAGTCTCGATACCAGTAATAATCGGAAGGCACTTCCGTACTAGGTAAGGCACGGCACCAGGAGATCGACCTTCGCGTATCAAAGGTAAGGTACGTTAGGTATCATATTTAGAACACCGGAGGTCCTGGACGTATTGCAGTCGCGCCACTCCCTTCCAATGTAACCATCAAGGTCCTCTCGAGATTTGAGCCTACCAAGGTGATTGATGCTACAGTACCCTTCGTAAGATCGGACGGAGGCGTCAGCATACTTTCGTAGAAGCTGCTGATCCGTCTCGGCGTGGTATCCGAATCGGTATAGAGACGATGCGATATCACGTGCTGACCCGAGCCAAAACCGACCAGGATCATTTCTAGCAATAACGATGCCTACCATTGACGCTGATGGCTTGGGTCCCGTCATTCAAATCTTATTGGTTTCCCTCAGCTCATTTCCGTTCCAGACAGGCATGGCATTGTCTGGACAATGAGCTTCCCCTTCCAGAAGACGCTATGGGTTCTGGCTCGTCATCAGAGTTCGTTCCCCTTTGTCATGGATGCAAACGCGTGTTTCGGGAGGAAGATCAGGACGTCTCGCATAGGAGACTGAACCCCTGCTGTAACGCATCCCCTGACGAAGGGGAAATGCTTCTAGAAGAGTGAGGAAGGGGGTTCCCAGGCACTACCACGGCAAATATGGTTTCAAGACACCAAGAGACGAAAGGCCTGCTTGCAGAGAGTAAACATACCTACCTTAGTCATTCGAGCTTTACAGATGGCGATTCTTGAAAGACATTTTGCCGGAATGTGGCGTCTGTAGAAGTGACTCCGAAGGTACGTGACATTGTAGAAATTACCTATTCTACGTGTATAATTTCTCCGTAGCCCCCAGCATGGAAAAAGGGGCAAGGCTGAAAGGTGTGGGCACCGCCACCAACGCCACCAACGCCACCATTCCGGGGACGACAAGTCGGTCTGCGAGGAACGGACCTCATCGCCCCTTTTTCGGTGTCCCAAGTCAATACTGCGGAGAGTAAGAGCGAGCACGCTTATCACTTCCTTTGGGTACTAGGGAGAACCCAATATTCTTACGTGCTCCTCTCGTCCGGCTAATATGGCTATTCCTATGCAGCGTCTCGGCGGTCGCGGTACGCTTTGCAACATTTCCTTCCCTTTTGTCATCTTCCAAATGCCTTAGTCCTAGCCCGTATGGAGTGATTGTCCGCGTCATATCCGTAGGGCAATCGCAGGTCCACAGGTCCGAATCAAGCGCACGGGCAGGGGCGGCACTCAACTGCTGGACTCTCGCGTCTCGGGCTTCTACGTGGAGCGGCTGTCAAGCTAACACCTATTGACAGCCTTCGCGCACACTGACAGCGACGACGACGAGACGGAGCGCGAATATGACCGCCTCCGCGACCTAGCTCGCCAGGAAGCGCAAAGGCGCAACGCATGCTTCGAGCGCGTATGTCCATTACTTCAACTCACTGCAGCCCCGCCGTCATCACCGTCTTGCCGCCCTGACACCGTCTAATTCCCATCATGTTCTCACTGACCAAGCTCAACTAGTCCCAAGAGGCATACAAGGCGGGCGATGGCGCCGCGGCCAAGGAGCTGTCCAACGAGGGCAAGCGGCACGCGGCCCAAATGGACGCCTACAACCAGCAGGCGTCCGACTTTATCTTCCGCGCCAACAACGCCCCCGGCGAGGTCGGCGAGGACGAGATCGACCTCCACGGCCAGTTCGTCGAGGAGGCAGAGCGCATCCTGGAGGCACGTGTCCACGCCGACCGCCGGAGGGGAGCCTCGCACCTGTATGCCATCGTCGGCAAGGGCAACCACAGCGCCAACGGCGTGCAGCGCATCAGGCCTGCCGTCGAGCGCCTCTGTGGTGAACTCGGTCTGCGCTACGCCACGGACGAAGATAACACGGGACGCATCCTGATCAACCTCCAGGGCGGTGAGGCCGTCATGCCTCCTCCCGGCCAGCAGCAGTCTCATCATCACCCTGGCCATGGCGGGCACCAGCAACCGCAGCAAGGAGAAGACGACGGGCCCAGTTTACTGGGCTTGCTTGTACGCAAGCTGGAAAAGAATTGCTGTATCGTCATGTAAATGCAATCTATCTCATTTTTTATGGGTTTGTTTTATTCTTTTTTTTTTTTTTTTTTTTTTTTTTACCCCCCCGTGCTCAACCCTGCCTCAACAGTGGGCGTTGGGAGAAATGTCGGAATTCGTTGGATATGTCAAAGGGATGGCCCAATTACCTTGTTTAGCTGTTCTGCGGAGTACTTGGGCGAAAGCAGTCGAGGTTTGTACCTTAAGGTAGATGGATAGCTCTGCAAATCAACGGTTGAAGCGTGGAGCTTTTACCTGAGGTCGTTCTGGGCCCAGCCAAGCGAGTTTGAGTCGCGTACCTTCCAGTAGCCAGGGGTCAACGAAGGCCGCCGACGTGCGATCGGACCGGTGATTATTTGTCCACGAGAAAACCCCTTCGCCGCAGGGCAGAGAAATATAATGCCAGCCAAGCCAATCTCCGAACAAAAGCTTTCTTCTTGTCGCAATTTCTGCTCAAAAATACTTTACCCAACCTGGCCCGGAGGAATGTATGTCATCAGATCAAGGTTTCGTACCTGGTGGATAAGGTAGGTAAGGTTCCTTGATCTGTATGCTTACGTAATGTTCAAGGTGTGTCGCTACGCGGTCGGAGAAAAAAAGCTTCAAGCAGCTCGTCGTCCAAACTGCAATACGCAACGACGACCATCAACACCATCAATCCTCATCCCTCCCACACACGCATTTACAACTCCAAATCAGAAACGATGGACGGGTGCGTCTTCTCCCATATTTGATGTGCTTCTTGCGCCCTTCACTATCCAGCCGATTTTGCTAACAAGGACTCACCGGTGAAATCAGCTTGAACAAGCAAGAAGAAACCCTGCTCCAGCAGCGCCTCCAGAAGCGTCAGATGAAGGAGTTCCTGACCGTAAGCCGTACCTCGCTTGTCAAACACGCCTCCCGCTCCCCTTGCTCTGGACTTGGTCTCCGCGGATGGAGACACGCTTCTCGTCCAAAGCCCTCCCCTCCGTCCAATTCATGCACTAGCTTCTTCTTCATGTGGTCGCAAGCTAATCTCGGTGCTTCCACGAACAACAGATCTACAGCAACTTGGTTGACTCCTGCTTTTCTTCGTGCGTCGACGACTTCACATCCAAGACCCTCGCCTCCCGGGAGTCAGGCTGCATCTCCCGCTGCATCCAGAAACAGATGGCCGCGCAACAACGCGTGGGAGAGCGTTTCCAGGAACTCAATGCCGAGATGACTGCCAAGATGCAGAGTCAGTAATCTTTTTTCTGCGGCTCCTTATTTCACGATACGCAAGCAGGTACTATTACTGCATGATAAACACCGAGAGGGACGGGCACTGGGATGATTAAGGCGTGTCTGTGTTCTCCGTTTTCCCGTCGACAACATTATCGACGCTGTACAACAAAACCAAATGCTAGGGGGGTGGATGAAGTGAATGGTCACAGAGACGAGAAGGAGACCTGGCAGGTTTCTTGAATCGTCTTGACTCGACCCCTAAAATAACAGGGCGGCCGATCATTCCGACTTGTACCATATCAACGGAAAGGACAATCAGGCATAGAACTCTTCTATTTATTGTATCTGATACATCTATAACCTATCATGTTTCCAATTACCGTCCCAGTGTTACCGACTCCCAACTTGCGCCATTACACTGGATCGACTCACGTGTAGAGAACATGGTTTACGCCACAAGAAACCCTAGGTTATCATCGTGACACTCGAGCACCAGGGCTACGTGGCTAAGTAAGGTAAGGTGGGTACGCAGGTCGTTGCATGAACCTCTTGACGGCTATTGCTGAAAATAAACACGTTGTTCAACGCCCCCCCTCCGGGACACCGTTTTATTTCTAAACAAATTCCCGTTCCCATCCGTGACCGGGCAAGCCACCAAAATTCCCTCGGCTCCCGAACGCTCATTCCAAGTCTTCGCTCAAGACATCCCTCGCAGTTTCAAGCTGCGAAATAACCCTCGCCTCGAGCAAGTTGCTGGGACCGCCCTCATCCGCAGTCGCCCCACCGTTCCCGTTCCCCGTCGTCATCCCCCGCCACTCCACCTCGCGCTGCCCCAAGGGTAGGAGCCGCTCCTTCAACAGTTTGCGGCTGGCAAGCCAAAAGTCCACGTTCTCCAGCATCGACGCCGCATCCCACTGCACCCCGGGGATGTCCCGACTGTTGTTGACGCGCAGGGCGGCGATGACCTTGGTGAGGAGGGCGAGCGAGTGGATCTCCGACACGGCAAGCAGCGTCACGTAATGGGGTCCCTCGCGGGACGCCGTGCGGCTGGCGCCGGGGGCTTCGAAGCGCTCCACGCTCGTCTTGAGGAGGTGGGGGAATTGGTTCAGCACGTAGGCGACCTCGGGCGCCACCGTGCCGCCAAGCACGGTCAGGAGGTTGAGCAACAGCGGCAGGACGCCCTTCGCCCAGATGCTGTAGCACCGTTGAGCGCCAACGACCTCCGAGAAAGGCGAGACGATGCCTTTCCGCATCAAGTTCGTAATGTTCGCCGATGTCAAGTGGCTCAGCAGACCATCGGCCGCCAGCTGTTCCGCCACCATGGGAAGCGTCGAGAGTTCCAGGAGGAAGAGCAAGCTGAGCTCGCCGTAGATGGGGTCGCCATCGACTGTCAGTTTATCGGACCAGGAGAACAGCGCCGTAGCTGCGTGCATAACGTCATACGAAGCCATGATGTTCAGAATCTGTGTTTGACACTGATCCAGCCCCGGCATGCGAAGGGAGGCTTGGAGAATGGCCGTCAGTAGGGCCAGATCCTGCGGCGCCACCGCTGCCTCCGACTCATGCACCAGCGTCACCAGCGTTCTGAAGCCTTTGGCCACCACGTTGGCAAGGAGGTTCAGAATCGTCTGTGTCAAGGCAGGCGACGACCCATTCGCCCCCAAGCTGGGTGCCTCGGGCCCGTCCTTTCTGTCGGCTAGACGGAGCCTCAAAACAATGTATACTGTTTTGAGGATGGTGCGGTAGTACTCGATCGAGTCGGCTCCAAACGGATCTTGAATGGCACCAAGCACACCGAAGAGGCTGCCCAGGAGTTTATACACGTCTTGCGGCGTTATGGGGCTCCCGACAAGGCGCTTGAGGAGCATCAATGCTAGGTTGGCTCGATCCTCGACGATCCTCAAGAAGATGTTCTCGGGACCCTGCACCGACTGATTGGCGTCTAGACACTGCAGCGCAACTTGAAGCATCTGCTTATGAACTGTCTCGTTATCTGGAAGGCAGCTGTTTAACTCGAGAAGCAAGAACTCCCATGCATGGAACAGCGACTAGATTACGGTTAGCCAAGTTTTCGCGCATTTCCGGTAGTCAGGAAGGAAATACTCACAATCTGTGCGTCAACGAGGGATAAGTTGGCATTGGCAATGGCCATCTCGTTCCGGAACCCATCGTCTCGCCGCCCATGCCAACCAGGATCGAAATCGAGCATCTCGTTCGCACGATCCAGGGCATAGAAGTACTCCTTTCCGAGCTCGCGGGGCTCCAGTAATGTCCGCTTGAGGCTGTCCAACGACACGCAGGGGTATTTAGACGAGAAATTTCTAGCAAAATTGTTGTGAAGTGAGTTGTTGTAGCTGGCAACCTCAACGCCATCTCGCAGATAATAGTCGAGGTCGCTGATGAGACTGTTCGCCAGTTCTTTCGAGTGACCCATCTGGCGCTGGTGATATAGTTGCATGGCAAAAATATCTGCAACATAGGCGGCCATTTTGGCTTCCAGTGCGGCTCTTGTAGTATCGGATTTGGCGACAACTGAGGCGGTCTTCAGATCCTTGATGAAGCGGCGCAGCGAGGCAAAGTAAGACGACTCTTTCCGCATGCTGAATATCGTCCATGGCCAGTTATTCTGTGCCGAGGCAACAAAGTCTAGGACCCGTAGAGCTTCAGACCTGTCCAGTTCGTTGATCGACTCCAGTTTGGCCAACGCCGTCTGGAAAACAGACTTCGACACTGCCGCCGAAGAGCCATTGTCCCCATTCTGTGCGTCCCTGGGAGTCCTCCCAGTGAGCAGACAGTTCGACATCCATTGCTGGCGGTTCTGTACAATGATGCTGAAGAAACGCCACGTATCCTGAACCTCGGAAGGTAGTAGAAACGGCTTCCCCAACCTTGACAGAAGTTGAAGGAATGCCCGTGAAAGCAGAGGTCCAAGGTAACCAAACAGGGACCGGGGATCGCCACTGACCGTGGCAGCATTGAGAACGAGAGCTCCAAGTAGCGACATGGCTGGGCGCTTGAACTCCTCATCTGCTGCGATCAACCTGGCGAAAAGGGGAGTCGCTTTGAATAAGTACGTCTCGAATGCGGCCGACGACCGCTCGAGGAGGGCAGCAACACGCAACAGAGACGTGGCAAGATTCATTGTCGAGATCACTTGTCCTCGGATAGCATGGAGCTTGCCGGCGTAAAGTGTCGAGTCCGGGATTTGGAGGCCGGAAATCCAGGTCCCGAGTAGGGCTTGGAATCTGAGAGAACCACTAGAAGCGGCCAGGAAGGACTCGACAACGTAGTCAGCTGCTGGCTGCAGACAGGTAGTGAGGGACTGTGGGTCGTGATGACCCCCCATGGCATAGGCGTCGATCATGAGTCTGTCCATAAGAGGAACGAGGGTCTTCATCAACAGTGTCTGGTGCACTTCCGAAGGAAACCGCCAGGTTGCGGAGCTCTCAAAAATATCGACGGCAGCTTGGGCGATCGCAAGGGTCACGGTCGCCAGGATTTTGTCCGCAACACCGACCCAGACGTTGTTTGACACCTTCTGGCGTCCGACAAGCTTGTCGCCTGACTTCCGCTGAGCTGCGCTCTTCATCACGCTGCCCACGAGGCTGGAGAAGAGTCGTACTGTAGACAAGAGAAACTCGAACCGGTCAGGTGAAAGATCGAGGTTTCCCACGAGCCTCGCCAACTTGCCCGCCCGCGACTCAGAGTTCAAAAGCTCGCACCGCGCCATGTAAGCCCAAACCCGAGTGGGACATAGAGGTAACACTGAGTCCAGGAATTGGACGCATGCATGTAATACCAGGATTCCGGGCCCATCGGCGGTTGCCTGGTCGTCTTGCATGTGGATATCCATGATATTGCACACAACTGAGATGATATCTTTGCTGCCTGAGGTGTATTTGCTCACATCTTCGAGCAGCTCAAGGCCCGGCTTGGGCACTGCCTCCCCTCGGAGACCTCGCTTGCGGGACTTGAGAGTCTCTGCCTGGAGGAGAGTTGCCAACAACGAGATAGCTTCGGCGGCGTCCTCAGGTGACATGTTTTCGAGCTCGGACTGATAGTTCTCAGGTGAGAGATACACCTCCAGTCGTTTGCCGAGGAATGCAAGCGCCGAGTGCTCGTATTCTAAAAGTGCGACCCTCCCCGTATCAGTAACGAAGCGCCCATAGGTCCCGGCAGGAATTCTGAGAGCGTCCTCCTCGCGGGCAATGCGTCCTCGACTGGAGATAGAGGCCACAAGAGGAATGTCGGCGAGCAAGCGGAAAGTGTTCGTGTTTTCCTCCTCCTGGGCGAGTTCAAAGTCTTGGAAGTCGTCTGGTAGGACAAAGGTGAGAGAGGGTGTTTTGCGGAGGATGTTGACGACGACATCGGCACTTTCGTCAGTCGCAGAAGGACTGGCAAGCGCGCGGGAAAAGTTCAAGAAGGGCAAGAACTCGAAGGGATAACGACTAAAGGCCGGATATAAGTAACACTCCAGAGCGGTTGTGTCTTGGAGAACGTTGTAAGCCACATCGGGTGATGGACGAGAGCTGCTTGGAGAGAGGTCGAGATCCCAGTAGCCCTGTCCAACTGAGAGGATGGAGAGGAGGGCAGTGACCGGATCTGATTGATAGCCCACAGGAGGATACGTTGCCTTCAAGAAGTCGATGAAGGTAAGTCGTATTCGGGAAGCTACCGAGGACGAAAAGCTGCCCTGATTCGGGTCGCAGGCAGCCACTGTCATCTGAGATAGGACATCGTATAAGCCACCTTGCGATGTAACAGCTTGTGCGAGGCTTTCAATGACGTGAGTGTCATCTTTCAGGCCAGAAGCAACGAGAAAACCATCAAAGGGCAACCCGTCTAGTGAAACAATGCTCCCCGCCGAAAGCCGACGGCCTGAGCTGGGTCGTAGCAGCGCCCCTGACTCGAAGGTTTCCTGTGACTTCTGGTTCTGCAGGGTGTCTCTCTTTTCCGACCGCTCGCTATGGGACACGACCATACGGTGCGAGATGACGGCCCAGGCAAAGATGACGGGGCTCTGGCTCTCACAGCCGGCTCCAGCTGCGGTGAGAATGGCATCATGGATCTTGCCCAGAACCTCTGGCGAGCTCAAGTACGGGTTGTTCTCCTCGGGGTGCAGGTCTACTTCTTGCGCCAAGAAGGCCATTGACCTTGTTGGGTTCAGCAGCCTCAAGCATATCGCGCATATTAAGATTTGGATAGGCAAAACCAGAGAATTGATGCTTTCGTGCACCTGTTTCCATGTAAGCTGAGGAAGTTCATATGGAGGATTGGCATCACCCTTACCAGAGTAATCCCATTCAAGAAAACGTAAGCCTCCATCAAGCTGAACCATTCCATCACTGTCTCGGGCGCAGCGAACGAATCGGATGTGCGGTCGAGAGCTTGGAAGATAACTGAAAGGGTATGGACAAGTTCCGTAAGCAGGGTCCGCTGCCAATTCAGATCTGTGTCTTCTGCCTGAAGACTGTTGTCGTTGATTTCCTTCTCGAAACCGTTCGCGAGGCTGTCGATAATCCGCGTGAGCGCCTTCATATTATTTGCAATAAGAGTCTCGTCCGAACTGGACGGATCTCCCAGGGAAGGGTAGGACGGCTCGGAGGAATTTCGACCAGACGTGATTTGTTTTGCTTCACTGCATAATGTCTCGCCGTGGATCAAGTCTGCCGTCATAACAAGGTAACGACGTTCGGAGAGGTAGGTCTGAAAGATGCGCAATCGTCGTGCCTCCTCCGTTCCGAAGTCCGCCCATATCGCATCGGCATCCCTCGTGGCTCCCGGTATCGGGACTAGGCTCGAAGACTGCGCGTTACTAACCCCAACGGCTTCTTGTAGGTTTATGGCATCTTGAATGGACAGGGGTCCGGTAAGCTGACTGGCAGGTCTCGACTGGCACTCGACAATGACAACTCGGAGCGCGGATACGAGGTTAATGTTGGCGGCCTTGCTCAGCCAGGTTGCGTCTGCTTTGATGACGTTGGTGTCATAATGTTCATTTTTTGTAGGAGTAACGTGAATGGCAGCGGTCCGAGTTTCAAAGTCGGATTTCGTCGTATCGCTCGGCGCCGCGAAGGCTAAGCTTGGGTCTTGAAGGAGGGATCGAACATGGTCGTCCGCGAGGAATTGTGCAAGGGTCTCGGTATGGCGAAGCGCCCCGGAGCTATCTGTCAAAGCTGCAGCAACAAGTTTCCAGGAGCTGGGTTGAGGAATGTTAGTAGAATTGTTCGTATGGGCCAAAAGCAAACAAACGACGGGACTTGAAAGCGATGGAAAAACTAAGGACCACGAACAGAATGACAGTGTCGCCCTTCAGGCATTCTTCCACAGGGGGGAAGTAAAGTCGATCCGACACTGGAGCCATTGCCGCCGTGCTCGAGTGCGTGCGATGCAGCCTAGAAGGGAGGTTGACTGCATCAGGCACTGGGGCTAGGAAGAAAAAGCAGGTTGGCAGGCAGGACGCGGATCGTCGCGCATGAAGCTGTTGCTTGGTGTTGAAGCTTGGTAAAATGTACGAAGTACAAGGTACTTCCACTCTTCTGCTAGCAATTACCATACCCAGGTCTAAATAAGGTACCGATGTTTTGCCGTTACGCTTACCAAGACATCAACGGTGGAACTGTCGTGCCCCCGATTACGGAGCTCTGGGGCTACACCTTCCGAGAAGTGCCTATCAAAAATGAGTTTTGAGACACATATTGACACTGTAATTGGGTGGAGTTCCAATACAAATACACACAGTAAAATCTACGTAGACACTGTAGGAGACACACCAACTTTCGCCTTCAAGTGCTGACTCACCCGCCAGCGACCCCCTTCCTCTCACGATTGTTAGTGTAGGTATATTCTCCCCCTCAAATCTCTCTCACTGTCGTCAAACAGGAGAGCCTTCAGCACCATCAACCAACCACCCGAGCGTTGTCGTGGCGAGCTAGGCCGACTTCACCATGCCCTCCTCTTCCGGCACCGATATCATTGACCACTCGCCCCATCATCCAGACCCTGCGCCGCCAATCCCTTCAGCCTCCAACCTCATCCTTATTGACAACTACGACTCGTTCACGTGGAATGTCTACCAGTACCTCATCCTCGAGGGCGCGACCGTCACTGTCTACAGAAACGACAAGATGACGCTCGAGGAGCTTATCGGCAAAAACCCCACCCAGCTAATCATCAGCCCTGGTCCTGGTCACCCCGCCACCGACTCGGGCGTCAGCCGTGATGCAATCCGGCACTTTGCTGGCAAGATCCCCGTCTTCGGTGTCTGCATGGGCCAGCAGTGCATCTTTGATGTTTACGGAGGAGAGGTTGGGTCTGCTGGCGAGTGGCTGCACGGAAAGACGTCCCCTCTGACCCATGATGGCAAGGGTGTCTACGCCGGTCTCGGCCAAGGTCTCCCCGTCACCCGATATCATTCCCTCGCTGGCACCCACGTCACCCTCCCAAGCTGTCTGGAAGTGACATCCTGGGTGTCCAAGCCTGACGGCTCACCTGGCGTCATTCAGGGAGTGAGGCATCGAGAATACACCATCGAGGGAGTTCAGTTTCATCCGGAGAGTATTCTCACAGCCGAGGGACGGACTATGCTGAAAAACTTTCTGCATATGCAGGGTGGCACATGGGAGGAAAATGCTCGCCTTCAGAAGCTGTCTGGGACCAACGGTGCTCCTGGCTCGGCCCCGGCCCCTGCGCCTCCCCCTTCCGGCAAGAAAAACAATATTCTGCAGCAGATATACGCCCGTCGAAGGGAGGCTGTCGCTGCCCAGAAACAGGTTCCTTCACAAAGGTTTGCCGACCTGCAAGCCACTTACGACTTGAACGGTGCACCACCCCAAGTCCCCTTGGTCGAGCGTCTGCGTCAGACCCCGTTCGATGTTGCGCTCATGGCCGAGATAAAGCGTGCCTCCCCATCAAAGGGCATCTTCGACCTCAGCATCAGTGCACCGACCCAGGCCCTGAAGTATGCCTTGGCTGGGGCCAGCGTCATTTCGGTCCTCACCGAGCCCGATTGGTTCAAGGGCAGCATTGAGGATCTCAGGGCTGTCAGGCAAGTGTTGAACGGCATGCCCAACAGGCCAGCCATCCTCAGGAAAGAGTTCATTTTCGAAGAGTATCAGATTCTGGAGGCCAGACTAGCCGGTGCTGACACGGTATTGCTCATTGTGAAGATGCTCAGCGCCGAAGAGCTGGAGAGGCTGTACAAGTACTCCTTGTCGCTCAGTATGGAGCCGCTTGTTGAAGTGCAGAATGCGGAGGAGATGACAGCAGCCCTCGAGCTGGGGTCCAAGGTCATCGGCGTAAACAACCGGAACCTCGAGAGCTTCGAGGTCGACATGAACACGACGAGCCGGCTACGAAGCATGGTGCCGGAGAACACCATCATTTGCGCCCTGAGTGGCATTAACACCTATCAGGATGTCACGCTGTGCAAAAACGACGGTGTGAACGCCGTCCTTGTGGGCGAGGCCATCATGAGGGCACCAGATGCCAGCAAGTTCATTCGGCAGCTGTGTTCTGGATCAGATGCTGGACCCGATCGAGAAAAGCCGCAGCCGCTCCTCACGAAGATTTGCGGCACCAGGTCCGCCGAGGCCGCGCTGGAGGCTGCAAAGGCGGGCGCCGATTTTGTAGGCGTCTGCTTGGTTCCCGGGGCGAAACGATGTATCTCCGACGAGACTGCCATGGCCATATCAGAGGCCATCCATTCTTACACATCGTCAAATTCGGGGGCTGAAGATGCAGTAGATATTATCCCCGCGACGGGCGCTGTCGATTACTTCGCTGGTGCACTCAGGAGACTACCCAGGCGGCGGCCTTTGCTTGCCGGCATCTTCCAGAACCAACCGTTAGACGAGGTCTTGGAGAAACAGAAGCGCTTCAATCTGGACATGGTTCAGCTCCATGGGGATGAGCCGGTGGAGTGGGCAAGTCAGATCCCTGTCCCCGTCATTCGCTGCTTCAAACCTGGCCAGGTAGGAGTCGGCCTACGTGGCTACCATACTCTGCCCCTATTGGATTCCGGCGCCGGATCTGGGAAGCTGCTAGATGTGTCGAGCGTCAAGGAGACGCTGGCCAAGGACCCTGAACTTCGGGTTATCCTGGCCGGTGGGCTGAACCCCGATAACGTAGTGGAAGCTGTTCGCGCAGTGTGTGAGTTTGGGGGGAGGGTTGTCGGCGTGGATGTCAGCAGCGGTGTTGAGGAAGATGGGAAACAGAGTCTGGAGAAAATCAGGGCATTTGTCGAGGCAGCGAAGAGCTACCGGTAGGGTTAGAGAATTTACGGGTAGTTTCAAATGGTTGTACTTGTTCCACGACAGTCGTAGTTGTCCATCAGCGTCTCTGATTTTGCTTGCCAGTGCTTTCTCATCGGCAATGTGGCTTTGTCTCTGACTTCCATCGTGATTTTTCGTCTACCATGAGCACCTCGGGTCGTCATCCCCCACTGGCCGCCTTCCATTTCAGATCTTTATAGGATGATATTTCCACCTTGAGTATCTTTGTCCAGTTATGCCCAACGAGACCGCATTGACAGTAACAGAATAAACTACTCACTCTCTTGCTGCGACGACTTTTTGGGCAACTGGTTTCGATTATCCTAAGCTTCTACTTGGTGTATATCATTTGCTAGATATACCTCATCTGCTGCGTCTTTTCTCGGAAAGTCTCTCTACCGTGGTCGTGTCGTCGTGGACAGACCACGTACCTCCTAGCCACGAGCACTCCGGGCCTTCTAGGCGTAGACCAGACATGATGTCTTCAGCTTCGTCTCATTTATTGTAGGTCAGACTCTAGGAATCCAATTTCGATCTGCGAGAAAGCTGCAGTTGGCGCAAACAGCCAAATATTTGGTACGGTTTCTTGGGAGTACTTTCTCTCGCCGGTTTGTGCCTTCTTGTCTGGAAGGCTTGGGGTCTGCGCAACTTCACATATCTCGGAAGTCTACACCATCCTTCTCTTGCAGTCTCTTGCAGCTTTTTCTGGGCCTTCCTTATAACTAGTTGCTGGTGGTTCCCGTCTTGAGGCCTAGCCTGGAAGGAGGTAAACCTCGGATCGAGAATTTGTCGAACGCCTCCTTTTCGAATATCTACGGCAATTCCCTGGCAGTTGCCTTCATCCGCGCCTTGGCTAAGTGACCTTACTCTCTATCGTTGGTGCTGGTGTGGTTGAACCAGTTTCAAGACTCTTTCTTCACGGTGTCCTTGCCTTGAAATCGGGGGTCCTCAACCGCTTCCTGCTACACCTCGACTGCTGGTGTACCCTAGACATCATACCAGGCTACATCGCCAACTCGAGTCCAGGCTCTCAGTATTTCAATGGATAAAGAATCCAAGTATAGTTCTTTCAACCACGTCCAGATGTACTAGTCAACATATACTAGGGCCCAAATATTCTCCCATATAGACAGTCAAACTTAAGTCAGAAGATCTCCAAAATCGCCGCCATATTCCCTCTGGACAAAGGAGGTCCTTTATATAAGGAGTCAACATGGTCAGAGGAATCTTTAAGAACTTGGTCATTGCCACAGCGGCGCCTATGCCTGACCAATTCACAGATGAGAACCTCAACTCATGGATAACGCAGCGGAAGGGCAGATTTACCAAGGACTTGGATGATTCGGTCACTCACCTTCTATGCACAACAGAACAGTACAAGTCTCGCAACAAGATACCACGCAGTAAGCAGATATTCTCCATGCTTCCCTCACTATGTTGTCTCTTTGTCTTTATGTGAAGGTTGTTCTCTTGCAGCTGTTAATTTCTACATGCCCCCCTGACTCTTGGCACATTCAGTTCACAGCTTCTCGGCCCCCACGAGTCGTCTTCACACATAACTGATTTTGGAGAGACCGTCATGACCTTTAGTGTGTCCCAAATAGGACGCGGGTCCAATATGTTTACCTCCTTCCCTTATACTCGGAGATAAAATCTCGTAAATAATACCCTGCCTCATAATTCAGACTTATCTGCCTCCCGTACACTTGCTTCCACAAGTTCCTCTTCCACCCTGGAGCTTGGACTTTAAGCCCTCGTCCATATTGCTGTGCTTATATAGCAGTGGCTGATTATTATACTTCTTGTTGTCTCATCTCAGTGAAGGAAGCTCTGCTCAGGAAGAAGCTTCGCATCGTCCATCTGGACTGGCTTGACTTCTCCTGTAACCGAAATCGCAAGCTCCCGGAAAAGGACTTCAACTTCCAGGCCCTTCGAGACGAGGAGAAGGCTCAGAAGAGACTACTCATGGCGAAAACCAAGGCCAAGAAGAACCTTGCCATGGGCGAGAGGTGGATCAATCCTGGTGAGCACCCCGTGGCATGAAGCCCCGCCCCTATTCCCGAATTCCAACCCATTTGGCAGCGGCCTTGTGTAGAATGTCCAAACTTACCAGTTCGCAGACTTGTACACCACTTTTGTGGACAAGTATAACTTCGAGTACAAGGCCGAGCTGGCGCGGACTACCCAGGACGAGTTTGGTACTGACCACGAGAAATACGTCTTGCATGTGAGTCTGCCCCACGGATATCTGCAACCAGATAGATCAGTGCAGTGCAAGAGGAGTTGCGATGCAACATGGCCAGATTGAAGGTGTGCAATGTCTGACTCGGACCATCTAGCTCTTCCAGTCCAACGCCAAACCGAGACTCTACTGGTTCGCCGCCAAAATGTACAAAAAGACGGAGGGCAAGTGCTGGCGAGAGGCCGGCATCCATCGGCCTCGTGACTGCTCCGGCTCCTTCAAGTCGGAGCTTGCCAGTTTCAAGGCTTTCTTCAAACTGAAGACGGGTATCGACTGGTGTGACAGAATCTGGAAGGCTGGCACTCGTGTCGACGGCTACCACTTTCAGTATAGGCCCCCCGTAAGTCCACACACAGCGTCCCCTCATCCCCAGGTCACTGTATCGTGTGGTTCCAGGGCGGATTGCATCCCTGAAGATGCGATAAAGAATGTTCGCTGACCTTTTGCTGCGTGGAAAGACCGGCGGTAAGCCTGTTGGCGGATCCCTCGCTAACGGGTGGACTGTCGAAGAGTGCTGGGTTCAGAATCGCGAGCTTCGTTTGCTGTACCAGGAACTGTTCGGCGACGAGTACGACGAGTCTCTGGACCAGAATGGAGGCCAGGGTCCAAGTGGCCACGATGGTCAATCTGGCTCCAACACCACTTCGCACTGGCCGGATCAACAGTGGTGTTGATCCGAGCATCCTGCTCCAGGGCCTCACAACAGCCAACAAGGCGATCGAGACCGGGCCCAACGAACCAGCAGTGACAGGTGGGAAGGACGTCGCACGTCGTATCAACAGTGCTTATACCATACGCACGACGACCATGATGATGTGTATGACATCTAAAGAACCCGTCATCCGAGAGTGAAACCCGGATCAGGAATCCATGAGCTCTTCGATACCTTTCCTCTCTTGCTTTTTTCTTCCTCTTTAGCTACTTCTCCATAGCACAGTTCAGAAACCGAGGAAAGGGAGAACTCATATATCGCAATGTCCTGAAGAAGGCCCTCCGCGTGAACCCATTTTGTCCAGTTCGCCTATGCTGTGCAAGGAACCCATCCCTTGCGCCGATCGCTCCCAATGCCATTCATACCCAATGCCATAATTCAGAACCTCAATTTGGGAAGCACAAAAACAAGTAGTATGAGTGCTACCATGAGCCCGTATATCCAGGCGTAAAGCATCATCCGGCCCCACCAACCTTTCCCTTCAGTCATGCGCCTCAGCGTGCCCATCCGACGGCTAGCCGCGCCCATGGACTTCTCAGTGCGGTCCATCCCATCCCCAGCGCGGCTCAGCACCGCCTTGTCTTCCTCGAGCGTTGACGAGAACCGTTGCGACGACATTTTGAGGGCGCTAGCCATCTTCAGGATCGAGTCGGACAGGACGTCCTGTTCAGCGCGCTGGTGGTCGAGAATGGCTTCGGTTGTCGCGGTGGACGTCTTGGTGGTGGCGGGCGCTTTGGATATTGAATTCATGCGGCGGTTTGCAAAGAGGGCCGCGCGGGCAGTGCTCGTGCCAGTGTCATGTCCTGGTGCGGGGTGAGATCCCCGCGGACGGACGGTTTGTGTTGAGATGGTGGAAACGGGTTCTGGGGCTGGCAATGTCGACGGCGGTGTCGCGTCCTCTGACGATGTGGAAGCGGCAGGCAGCGGTTCGTTCGCTGACGATGCTATTTCCGGTGACGGACGACTTGGTAGTTCCTTATCCGCCTCCGGCTCCTCGATATCCTCTGCCGCAGCCCCTGCAGGTCTGGAGTCCACGCTCTCACTCGGCGTCGGCATGATTTCGCTAAGAATGTCATCTCCCTCTGATCCATCGTCATCCTCGTAGTGAAGCTGGGAATAATGTCAGCGCCTGCATCATCTGGCTTCAAAGGATGGTCCAAATCCTGACCTGTTCGAGGTCGTGCATACGATCCATAAGCCTCTCGAGTAAATCTCTTTTCCGGTTCAAGTCTGATTGAGTTTCTAGCTTTTTTGAATGGAGTTTCACCCCGAGGGCTTCTTGCTCTAGTCTTGTCAGAAGCTGTCGTGCATAGTCCAGATTCTGTGATGGCAATTCTCCCAGTCAGCCTTCCAGATTTCCTGCCTGTTCGGAAGGCATTACGTAGGAAGAAGCGCGCTTGCCTGGTTCAGCTTTGTACGTTCGAATTCGTCGGACCGCAGGCGCTTTTCTCGTTCGGGATCTGCGCGGAGTATCGAGCTTTCGAGCCGGGAGAGAAGTTGGGTCAACTCGGCGAGGCTTCGTTCTGATGTGTTGGTCGGAGCAACTCCGAGAGCATACGACAGCCGTGCCATCGTCAATGTCTCCGTAGGTAATGGTCGGTCGCTGGATCGTGTACCACGATGTTGAGGCTGGTAACGCAACGTAGAGAGGTTCGTCTTGTAGAACAAGGTGGCGGCCTTAAAGTGACATGCCGTCCTCGACTTGTCAAGCCACCGTGGCTGAAGCTATTCAACCCTGTAGTGGCACAGACCACCATCCAACTACGGTAGGTAGCTAGCAATCTTTACCGTATAAGGTATTTGTCGAACAGACCATAGTCTGTTCGGTTACGTAACGGGCCGGATTGCTAAGAGTATAATCCGGGTGGACGCTTACAGAATCTGCACTATATAAAATACGGTGGTAGCGTTTCCCTAACGGTCTAAGATAGTTTGAATTATATATAGTTACCTTAATCAATTTTGACCTATTTTGTGATGATTTTAACTACGCTTCATCTAATAATTAAGAGTCTTACTTACTAAGTGAATAACCTACCTTGACTATTACGACTACCGATTAAGAAGCTATCTAGCCGCGCCGATATAGTGTGTTAATCTATAAATAACTATTAAGATATCGGAATATAAGCCTATAATCTATAAAACCTATCGCAATTAGGAGCTCTAGAGTAAATACTATAAGGTTATAGCCGTTAATAACGAAGTCTAGGAAAATCTACGCCCTGATAATCTAATTTCCCCCCTTGTAAGCCTATTTTACCCTCCTACGCCACATTCTAGCCGTTGCACGTAACCCTATAAGTAGAGGTTACGCCCTTATAGTAGTTAGATCTAATACCTACTAGGTAGCGCGCTGTCAAATGGGTAGTCGCAAAGAGTGAAAAGGTAGGGTTAAGTAAGAAACCAGGTATAATTATAATAGGATTATAATAGGGTTAGAATGTGGGTGTAGCTAAAGAGTTAGATTAATCGCTGGCCTCCCTTCTTTAAAGGGGAGGCTCCCTCGCTCCTTAAGACCCCGCTCTACTCCTCGAGGGCTGCTTATTTACTTCCTCGAGGGCTACCTTATTTACTTTAAGGGACTATTCTGTTTGCTATGTGATAACTTACTTTATTTATACCTTAAGGGGTCTTAGACTAGGTATACCTAGACCCTTATAGGTTTATACTAGGGACCTATTATAACTACTACTATAGGTACCTAATATAGCGACCTCCCCCGGATACTCCTATTCTTAGGAGCGCCTGATCCGTGCCGGCCTCTTAGCTCCTCCGAAACCTAGCCTCCGAGTTTGTTCCTAAATCCTAAATCCCTTAATACCCCGAACCAGAGTCCTCCACGATAGGACCCTAATAGGCCCCCGCCTAGTACCTATACGGAGCCCCTTTAGCCGTGGCTCTAATCTAGGTATACCCTCTCTCCCTTTATCTATTATCTAAGGCCACTAATAAGGGCCACTTCCTTTTATGCTTCCGAATCCGGCGCCGCGTGCAGCCGAGTTCTATTAATCCACCTATAGCCGCGTCCTATTCGGGACCCTAATAGGTTCTAGGGTAGTTCCTTCCCGGGCCGTCAAGTCTATCCCTTTATCCTCCTGGGTTATTCCTTCTATCCATCTATAAAGACTCCCTCTTATAGTGTTATATAGGGCCCGATATTACTCCTTCCGTGAATTTTATAGCTTCCTTCTTTATATAAAAAATAGGTGCCTATATAACTACCGTTAAGGGGGATATCTTATAACCTGCTATTACTCCCTCTTCCTATTCTTTTCTTCCTCTTCTATACTTAATTTTCGATTATACTACGCCTCGTGAGTTCTACCTAATCTAAGGTATCGCGTACTAATAGTTTAAAGTTTTACTTAATTAATTAATTGATTAACTACTATCTTATAAGTGCTCCCTAACCTATCTTTAGTCTATAATACTAGCTAACCAGGCGATATAGTATAGTCACTATACCTTCCTAGGAAGATAATAATAATAATAAGCGCGTCGCTACTCCCGCTAGTATAACGCGGTCCTTTAAGAGGATTAAGATCGTGGTTACGGCGTTAGCCTTATAGTCCGCTAGGCAGTCTACCCCGTAGCTAGCTACGCCGTAGCCGGCTACGCTAAAGCCTCCTGCTTCTACTACGGCTATGTCGTCGTTAACTACTATACCGTCGGTTACTCCCCGCTAGAAGGTAGTGGATATTAGTATAGACGGGGATCTAAGGGCCCCTTATATATATTATACGGGTAAGTTAGTAACGATTAACTTTAAGGAAAAGATATATACTATCGAGGCCGAGATATACCGACACGCCGATAACGGTCGGCATACGAATAAGTGCTATTACTACTCTAAGTATAATAGCCTTAAATACCGCGTGGCAAGTTATATATCTTTATTACTATCCCTATAGCCCCTCCCTTTATAGACTACTCCGTGGTCCCCGTTAATCTAATATATATAATAGCTTCCTATCGTCGGTAAGAACGCTACCGAGGAGCTATAAAAGGTTTTAGTTATTACTATTAATAAAGGTAGCCTAAAGAAGAGTTATCGCATAAGTATTACTAACCGTGTCCCCTTATTAACCCTATATAGTACCCTTACCAATTCTACGTGATACTAGGCTATAGTAGTTTAATATTAGGTTATCCTTAAAGAGGCTCTGGGTTAAGCGACGCTAAAGGTTAACTAGTCGTCTACCGAGGAAGCTATAGTTACTCGGCGTTAAGCTAAGGAAGTTATTAACGCCTGCTAGAAAACGGCGGAAGATATCCACGAGAGGCTTAATAGTATAGAGTCGATCCTTAAGTAATTTATCGGGCTATAGTAGTAATGCCTTGCCATTAAGTAGTAACGGCTTAATATCGAGTAGTAACGCTTAGCGTTATGTTAGCGCGACCTTACGGCCTAGGAATATATAGCCGCTGCTTTCGAGTAGATAGCTGCCCTTAACCTAGCCTAGGCTTAGGCTATGGAAGGTGGTTATAAACGACTGGTTATAGGTCGTGGCACTAAGTAAGGTCGTAATAATAGATTATCTAGAATTAAGGAAGGAAGAAGGAAAAGGAGAAAAGTCTATAGCGCTAGGCTGGCTATAAGATAGCGATAACTTAGCGATATAGGTCCGTTAACTAAGCACGTAGTTAGGAAGATCCAGAGTATAGCCGGATCCTCTATATTGGGGTTAACCTGTAATACTATCCCCCCCCTCTCTCTTTAGGGGTTATATAACCGCGTGTTACCGTTATAGTTCGGCTCCCCCTTATATCGCGGTAATAAAGGAATAGTCGCATCTTTTTATCTTACCTCGCCTTTACCTCGATATTAAAGAAATCTTAGGTAACCTACTAACCTTTATTTATATACCCGAAATAGTAATATAGGCTCCCCTCGCGTAGATACTATCCGTAGATATATCGGCCCTGTTTTCCTTATAGGCCTTTTTTTCCTCCGTTCCCCTCCCTACCTTTAATAATACTAATAATAGTAATAGCGGTTATATATATACTTTTCTTCTTTATAGCGACGATTCCTTTAATATCGCCTATCCTTAGATAATAATAATAATACTCGGCTAGTTTAAGAGTTCCCCGTTTAAGGTAAGCCGTCTCTCGCTCGCGATCTTTTTATTAGGAACCCTTTACTAACTTATATCGTTTTATAGATAGCGCTAGCCCCTAGCGATAATAGGGGTAATAATAATAGTAAGCGTACCGCCGATAACGATATAGGTATAACGCTTTTACGTCTTAAGGCGATACTAACCGTATAATAGTTTATATTATCGCCCTTACCACCGCCTAAGAAAAAGAAATTAGCGGGTAGTCGGCCTCCTAAATACCCTCTTAGTAGCGTTTATACTAAGCTATACCTCCCTTATACGCGCGATATCGCTAATAGGAAGTATAAGCGCCTTTATCATAGCTAGATTAGTCGGGGGAAAAAATACTATATATACTCTACGAAGATATACTAGTATACTCCTCTCCTAACGCACCTTAAGGGCCACGCGTAGAGGTTATTCGAGACGTCTACCCTTATTAGCGACGATAACGAGAACGCCCTTATAAGACTTCCTCTCCCCTAAGAGGTCGTGATAGTATCGCTAACTCTTCTTTTAGGAGTAGGAACCATATCTTAACGCTTATACGGCGTTTTAGGATACTCTTATAGCTAGGGAAGCGATAACGGCGATATTACCTATAGCTATGTATCCCGTGGAGGCTCCCGGTATAGTAATTGCGTTAGCCCTTTCTCCTCCCTAAGAGGTCTAAGAAGCGGTAGTACCGTAATTAGCCTTATTACCTTTTCCTAAGGTTATTAATAAGGTAGCTAAACTAGCCTTATTTCCTCTGGTAACGGAGGTTACTAATAAGGTAGTTATGCTAGTCTTTTCTCCTCCCTTAAAGGTTATAGAAAAGATAGCGTTAGGACTAAATATATCGCCTTTAAAGGAGATCGCTATTAAGGCGGAATAGCTAGCCTTATCTCCTCTTTATAAGGTTATAGGTAAGGTAGTAGTTTTTGGCCCGGTCTCTCCTAATATCGTAGCGAAAAAGAATACTTATCCTACTACTCTTACTCCTTTATTAGGGTCGATATTATCGGATAAAGACTTTAGACGCCTTAATCTTATAAAGCTAAAGGAGTATACTTAGCTATTTAGGGAGATACTTATACTCGGTCACGCTAATATCGTGATCTCCGAATTCTAATAATACACGGAGCGTAGGCGGGCTTTTACGCTTATAGGTATAACCGTTATTAATACGGTTATAATCCCTGATAATAATAACGATAAAGATAACGATAAGGTTAAGGAGACGGACTCCGACCTATAACGAGGCGATAAGGGTAAGACTTTTACGGAAGTCGATAATCCCGAGGATAGCGATTTCGAGGCTAAGGATATTAATCTAGGCTTATATTAAGCGTGGTTAGGGCGCGGGGCCTATCCGGCCTAAACTAAATCCGACTTTTACTCGCTTCTAATTATCGCGATATAATCGCTTATATATTAGTTCCTATATCGTAATAGCACGAAGGTATTTAACGGGCTATTATTCGT